ACTATGAATGAAAAGGTATGGAGAGAGGCTAGACATAGTTTTAGGCTGGTTTAGGGATTTAAAAAGATGGGGGTAGGCCAGGCGTTGGTGGCGCACACCTTTAATCCCAGCACTCCAGAGGCAGAGGCAGGCGGATCTCTGTGAGTTCGAGGCCAGCCTGGTCTACAGAAGGAGTTCCAGTACAGCCTCCAAAACAATACAGAGAAACCCAGCCTCGAAAAACAAAACAAAAAAAAAAAAAAAAGGGTAATTATGTAGCCAATTAGGGAGGGATGGCAAGGATCAGTGGGAAGACTGAGAGAGGAAAGTACTACTGGGTGGGTGGCACATGCCTTTGGTGCCACTGTGATCTATATAGTTTCAGGACAGCTAGGGTGATATAGTGAGACCCTGGAGAAGGAGGGTGGTGGAGAGGGGAGAAGGAAGGGGGAGAGAGAGAGGGAATATTACCGCTGATCCTTGGACCAAACTCTTTTCCAGGCTTGGAAACGCTGGTGCACACAGATTCTATCTGCCCTAAGGTAAGTAATATCTGGTTGGTTTTTCCCCAGTCTCTTCTGATTTAGTTCTTTAAACAGACTACAAGGCACTACTCTGCTTTTCTAGTCTGCCTCTCCCCAATTTCTTTGAGTCATGTGCTGACAAGATTAGCCCCGCCTCTTATGGGGTCCTCCTAATGTCCTAACCACTAGAATAACCCTTCCTCATTCTCCTACTGCTTATCGGATTTAAGTCACCTGGCACAGTAGATTCAGAGTACAGGGATTCTCACTATGGTGACCAGGATAAGACCTGGCCCTTGCTCCTCTTAACCCTTGGGTTCCCCCTGCCCTTAATTTCCTAGTGGCCCCTCTAACAGCCCAGTGCCCCCACAGCTACCTGCACTCCTGTGACCCTCCCATCATCCATGGGAACCTGACCTGTGACACCATCTTCATCCAGCACAACGGACTCATCAAGATTGGCTCTGGTGAGGGGAGGGAGAGATTCTGGGCAGGGGAGCCTCGGGAATTTGGGAGCCATGGGGGTAAGGTCAAAGGCGTGGGGAAAACAGTGAATTTTGAGGTGTGGGCTGGTGATAAGAGATAGGTTTTTAGTAGAGGTGATTTATAGGGAGAGACCAATTAGTGAAATGGGGTAGGGTATACACTCTTGTACTTCTTGGAGAGAAACTTGGACTAACACAGAGAAATTGAAAGGAGGCTGGGAAAGGGCAAGAGATGGAGATTGAGGTCTGACTTGCGCCCTTTGGGCCAAACCCTACCAAAGAGGTTCCAGGCTGCCTGCTGTGAGTGCCTTCATTTGCTGTGTATTTGTGTGCAGTGACATTTCCGTGTGCCGTGTCTGTGTGTTGTTACCATTTGTCTGGGGCTTGGCTGCTCCATCGCTCACAACTTTTCTCTGTTTTCCTCCCTCCCGCTTACGGGCTGCTCTGTTCCCAACAGTCTTTCATAGGATTTTTGCTAATGGTGAGAGCTCCCTCTGCCCCACTTGGGGCTCTGTTTGTGCTCCCTTTGCTCCCTCTGCGGCTGCCCAGTGCATGCAGTCGTGGGAGCAAGGCTCGTTCCCTGCTTCCTGTGCCTAATTATGCCTGCTTAAGCTTTTGCCCCGCCAGCCCTCCACCTGCTTGCCCCTTTGTAACCTGCTTGTTTCCTGTGGATTCTGCCTGGCTGGATACTTCCTCTTAGTCATATTCCCCCTCATCATCTGGCTGGCTCCCTAAATCATACTGTGCTCCTTGATTCTCTGTGACTTGTAGTCATTGTTAACGGTCAGAGTGAGTCCAGCTTGGGCCTGGCCCTGGTTCCTCCTTCAGTCCTGTGGTAGGTGATGTTGAGAAATAAACTTTTAGACAAGAGTTTAAAGTTTTGGTGAATTAAAAGTGAAACTGATTTCAGGGTATTGGTTCACTTTTGAATTAGTTTTTTGAGTTTCCATCAACATCGATGGGTAAGGAACAGGCTAGCTCCTTGGTTGTATGTTAATGCTGCTTTGCCTTTCTTATCCAGGTTCATGAGGTCTCCAGTTGTCCCATAGTAGGAAGGGCTGCGTGTGTTTTTATGTTAATTGCAGGGCGGATGAATCAAATAAAACCTAGCATTTTCATGGCCTATGGATTTGATAGATCTGGGACACTGGAGAGATGAGCAGGTCACAAATGAAAAGTTTTTCCTTTGACTGTGTTACCTGATGAGCCCAAAGCCTCAGTGTCTGTCTGTACAGCGTGTAGACTGTTGTTCCTGCGTTAGTCCTTCGGCTGCGGAAGGGGAAGATAGGTGGTGTTCATGTGTAGTCTATAGTTCAGGACTAGTAGAGTAGTAGGTTTGTGTCCATGGAGTGTTAGAAAGGACACTTCAGGAGAAACATGGCTTTTGGAGCCTCTCTCAAGAGTCAGACCATGCTTTGGTGGTGGTCAGACTGTGGGTGTCTCCTGCTCCTAGTGGCCCCTGACACCATCAACAATCATGTGAAGACTTGCCGGGAAGAGCAGAAGAACCTGCACTTCTTTGCTCCAGAGTATGGAGGTGAGTAGCCTTACCCTCTGCCCGCTCTCAGATCCTGCTTAAACAGTTAAGGTCCTCAACAGATTGTGCCATCTACCTACTCCGTCCCTGCTTGATAGAGCCACCCCAGGTCTCTATAACCTGAGAAACAGGGATAATGCAATCAAAACTTCATCTGTCTGTACTTGTATACCTTTTAAAAGGATGCCAATCACTTCTTACCCCAGTTTTCTTGCTTACTAAGACATCTGTTCTCCTCTAGAAGTTACTAATGTGACAACAGCAGTGGACATCTACTCCTTTGGCATGTGTGCTCTGGAGGTGAGCAGACCAGAGGGAAGGGAAAAGAGAACACATGAAACTGGAAAACAGAAAGGGAGCATTTGCTGGGAGGGGTTGTGGAAGCACTGGGTTTGTCTCGAGATCTCATTTTCCCTGGGTTCTTCCTCACTACAGATGGCTGTGCTGGAAATTCAGGGCAATGGAGAGTCCTCGTATGTGCCACAGGAAGCCATCAGCAGTGCCATCCAACTACTAGAAGACTCACTACAGAGGGTAAGAGTCATTGGAATCAGTGTCCATCCTTACTTAACTGATTTTCAAATGCTTCAGGCTTATTGTACCTCTTTGGAGTAGGGGCCAAGAAAAAAAGAATAAAATCAAAATAGAAAAGACTTGACTTTACAATTTTCTTGTAAAGGGGTTCAGATAGGTAGTGTTGAGGTTAATTGTTTCCTAGTTAAGTATGTCTACATAGAGGCGAGCTGATTTGATGGTTACCTCAGTCAATTGCTACATACTCTTACACAGTAATCTTGGCATTCTAAAGTAAATTTAAATATCAAACCAGTTATTTTGAATTTTATATTTAATGAGCTAAGATGTAAATGATGAAGGAATTAAGAATCAGCAGGTAGATTCACTATAGTGAGCAGTTAACTCAGGCCAGGCATGGAGGCAGACACCTATAATCCCGGCACTTGGAAGGTGGAGGTAGGATCAGGAGTTCAAAGTCATCATCCTCTACATAGAGTATTCAAGGCCAGCCTGGGCCACATTATAGACTCTGTCTGTAAAACAAAACAGCCAGCTGGGCAGTGATGGAATGGCAGCTCATCCCTTTAATTCCAGTACTTGTGAAAGCAGGCAGATCTCTGTGAGTTCAGGGCCAGTCTGGGAGCAAAGGGAGTTCCAGGACAACCAGAACTACAAATAGAGAAACCCTGTCTCAAAAGCCAAACCCAAATAAATAAACAAATAAACAAACAAATAAATAGAAAATCCCACCACCACCACCACCAGAAAAGCCCACTATAACAAGGAAGAAACAGTTAACTAGAGACAATAATGGGGAGCAATAAGCAGAGGTCTAGCTAAGAGGTAGTAAGAATGTAATCAGGTTCTAGTTCACATTAGGATGGGATGGTTGGGTGAAAGATCAGGTATGTGACTTTGTTGGCTTTAAAACTGAAAGAAAACATGCTGCCATGGGATTGATCAAAGGCAAAAAAGGAGGTGAAAAGGTTTGAGAAAGCATGGAAATGTAGTGAATTCAGGAATTGTAGTAGATAAAAGAAGTTGTAATAATAGTATTGAGAAACAAAAAAATATGGTGAATATTACTAACTTTAGTAATTTGGTAAGTGTGGGAAGGGAGAAAAACTAAATTTGGCAAAGATCCAAGAAACGTTGGCCATGAATAAGCAAATAAAAACAACAAAAGAAAGAAAAGAAAAATACTAAGTCTCAACATTAACGAAAAAATATTGTGGTTAGAGAGTAGAAAAGTAATAACCAGGGGCTGGAGAGGTGGCTCAGAGGTTAAGAGCACTGACTGCTCTTCCAGAGGTTCTGAGTTCAATTCCCAGCAACCACATGGTGGCTCACAACCATCCGTAACAAGATCTGGTGCCCTTTTCTGGCATGCAGGCAGACATGCAGACAGAACACTGTATATATAATAAAGAAATAAATCTTTAAAAAAAACAAACGTAGGGGGCTGGAGAGATGGCTCAGAGGTTAAGAGCACTGACTGTTCTTCCAGAGGTCTTGAGTTCAATTCCCAGCAACCACATGGTGGCTGACAACCATCTACAATTCAATCTGGTGTATATGTAATAAATAAATAAAATCTTTAAAAAACAAACAAACAAACAAACGTAAACCGTGCGGTGGCACTTCCGAGGCAGAGGCAGGTGGATCTCTGTGAGTTTGAGACCCGCCTGGTGTACAAGAGCTAGTTCCAGGACAGCCTCCAAAACCACAGAGAAACTCTGCCTCAAAACCTCCCCCCAAAACAAACAAACAAAAAGGTAATAACCAAAGCCAGGCATGGTGGTAATCTCAAGCACTTCAGAGGCCAAGACAGGAGAATTGTGAGTTCAAAGCCAACCTAGGCTTATGTAGTGAGTTCGAGGCCAGCTTAAGCCATCTAATGAGACCCTGTCTCAAAAAAACAAAAAGTCTAAAAAGAAAAACCAGAAAGACAGTGAATGATGATTTTGTATATCACCATATGTATATTTAAAGTTCTTTCAGGAGATATATCAGTTCCCCTAACAAATGTTGACTTCCAAGTATGTATGAGACATTTTCCTAAGTCTAATGAAAGTTAACAGGATGTGAGAGGCTTGCCAGATGCCAGCTCCAGGTTTTTCTTCTCTTCTTATAGGAGTTTATTCAAAAGTGCCTGCAGTCTGAGCCTGCTCGAAGACCAACAGCCAGAGAACTTCTGTTCCACCCAGCACTGTTTGAAGTGCCCTCTCTCAAACTTCTTGCTGCTCACTGTATTGTGGGACACCAACGTGAGTCCCCCAGACCCTACTAGAAATTGGTACCAGGACTGAATCCATGCTAAACAAAGATTACTAGAATTTTCTTCCAACTTGGGGCTTTCATCACTGACAAGGCATCTTTATTCTCTTACCAAAGGGATTCTTTATCCCTGTTCGTCTAACCCTCTTGTGAACGTGTGAACCAATTCTGTCTTTACACTCTGCTCCACCCCATTATACCCACCAGACATGATCCCAGAAAACGCTCTGGAGGAGATCACCAAAAACATGGACACCAGTGCTGTACTAGCTGAGATCCCTGCAGGGCCAGGACGAGAACCAGTTCAGACTTTGTGAGTAACCAGCTGGGAGGTCTGAAAGGGATAGCTTGTCACTACCACACTGGGCCTCGGTAGAAGGCCCATTCTCATGCTTCCTCCTCCTCCCCCCAGGTACTCTCAGTCACCAGCCCTGGAATTAGACAAATTCCTTGAAGATGTCAGGTGAGAGAAGGTGGACTTCTGTGAGGAAGCGGGGACAGGCGTCCTGAGGTTTTCACAAAGTCCGAGTGACTTGTCATCTCCCACCAGGAATGGGATCTACCCTCTGACAGCCTTTGGGCTGCCTCGGCCTCAGCAGCCACAGCAGGAGGAGGTGACATCCCCTGTTGTGCCCCCCTCTGTCAAGACTCCAACTCCTGAGCCTGCTGAGGTGGAGACACGAAAGGTGGGGCTCTGGTGTGGTTGTCTTGGGGGCAGAGCCGTCTTCGCCCAGGCACTGTCCTGTTGGCAGTGAACTGTGCCTCTGGCTACCAAGTCCTCTGTGCTGGGAGGCTCCAGGTGTTGGTGTGTCTCGCTGCTGGTCTCTAGTGTCGTCCTCTCTTCCTGTCCCAGGTGGTGCTGATGCAGTGCAACATCGAATCAGTGGAGGAGGGAGTCAAACACCATGTAAGCCCCGGTTGAGGGCTGAGGGGCTGGGTGGAGAGAGGTGGAGTGACATCCCAGGGGAGAGGAGCCTTACTCTCTGACTGCCTCTTCCCTAGCTAACGCTTCTGCTGAAGCTGGAGGACAAACTGAACCGGCACCTGAGCTGTGACCTGATGCCAAGTGAGGGTCTGCTTTCTTTTCAGGAGGGGAAGTGATTCACAGAGCATGACTGTTGTAGCTTCTGAACGGGGTGATCTCAAGGGCGGGCTCGCGGCCTCCGGTACCTATTCATTCACCCCTCCCATCTTTCTGTCAGATGAGAACATCCCAGATTTGGCAGCTGAGCTGGTGCAGCTGGGCTTCATTAGTGAGGTGAGGTTCCTGCCTTCTGTGCCCTGGCTGCCTCCCGCCGCCTCTCAGCCCTGTCTCACTGAGCTTCTTCCTCAGGCTGATCAGAGCCGCCTGACTTCTCTGCTCGAGGAGACCCTCAACAAGTTCAATTTTGCCAGGAACAGCACCCTCAACTCAGCCGCTGTCACCGTCTCCTCATAGAGCTCACTTGAGCCAGGCCCTATCTGAGTGTGGCTGTCCCTGGACATGCTGCAGTCCTCCTGTCCCTTCTCCCCAGTCAGTATTACCCTGTGAAGCCCCTTCTCCCCTTGTTATTCAGGAGGGCTTTAGGGGCTCCCTGGTTGAGCATCATCCTGCCCCTCCTCCCCTCCTGCTCCCCTCTGCACTTTGTTTACTTGTTTTGCACAGACGTGGGCCTGGGCCTTCTCAGCAGCCACCTTCTAGCTGGGGCTAGTAGCTGACCTGCTGGCTCCTGCCCTGCCTGTGTGGACAGGAGGCCCACGGGCTCCGTGGGAGCTGAGTTCTACAATCCCGCAGGGGCGGACGGGCGGGCGGGAGAGAAAGGTGGTGCTGCAGGGGTGGCCCCGGGGGCCATTCGAATCGCCTCAGTTGCTGCTGTAATAAAGTCTACTTTTTGCTAAAAGTGTCGCTTGGTATTTTGCAGCTTGTTGGGTGGCATAGCCACCCAGGTGGGGGGGGGGGGGCGGGGCGGGCCCAGGTGGGGCGGGGCGGGGCGGCCCCTGGGAGGCTGGGCCTCGGGGCGGGGCGGGGCGGGCCCAGGTGGAGCTGCCTTGCGGCGGCGCGGAAGCGGGGTTCAGGTCGGCGGCCGGGCGAGGCCTGGCCCACGTAGGGCGGTCGGGTGGTGGCGCGGGCAGAGCGGCCCACGATGAGGTGCTGCCGCCCCTGCGTCTTCGGTAAGTTGCACGACTCCCCCTCCCCTGTAGCTCCTCGGCGTCCCACGCGCGGCCGCTGGCCCTGTGGCCCCGCCCTGCAGGCTGGTATCTACCCCTCCCCCTGTTTTCAGACGCCGCCCGAGGCCCCAGGCGGCTGATGCGCGTGGGCCTCGCGCTGATCCTGGTGGGCCACGTCAACCTTCTGGTGGGAGCTGTGCTGCATGGCACTGTCCTGCGGCACGTGGCCAACCCCCGTGGCGCCGTCACGCCGGAATACACCACGGCCAATGTCATCTCCGTGGGCTCGGGGCTGCTGGTGAGCGTGGAGGGCGGATGGACGGGCACGGTGGGCAGGGCGCAGACACAGTGAGCCATAGGCTTGTTGCTTCCGCAGAGCGTTTCCGTGGGACTTGTGGCCCTCTTGGCATCCAGGAACCTTCTTCACCCACGACTGGTGAGAGCGGTGGAGGGGCCTCGGTTCTGACTTCCAATGGGAATCTCGAGCCTCGGGGAAATTAACAGTCTGCTCACCCGGCTCTCCTGCCCCACTAGCACTGGGCCCTGCTGGCGCTGGCCTCGGTGAACCTGTTTCTGTCTGCTGCCTGCGCCATGGGCCTCCTCCTGGCTGTGTCGCTCACTATTGCCAATGGTGGCCGCCGCCTTATTGCTGACTGCCATCCAGGACTGCTGGATCCTTCTATACCACTGGACCAGGGGCCCGGACACACGGACTGCTCCTTTGACCCCACGCGAATTTATGTGAGCTCCTTCTTGCTGTTCACAAACCTTGGGTCCTCACCTTTGCCCTGTGTGCGGCCCCCCCACTGCAGGGCCCAGTCCTCGTCGCTACTTTTGGTTTTAGGACACAGCCTTGGCTCTCTGGATCCCCTCTTTGTTCATGTCTGCAGCCGAGGCCACGCTCTCTGGTTACTGCTGTGTGGCTGCACTCACCCTGCGGGGAATTGGGCCCTGCAGGAAGGAAGGGCTGCAGGGACAGGTAAGGAGGAACAGGGAGGGGTCACTCGTACCCTGGTTATGTTGGAAGGAGCTGTCATTTCAGGCCCGTTCCTGAATCCACCCTCTCCTGCAGCTGGAGGAACTGACAGAACTTGAGCCACCTAAGTGTAAAAGGCAGGAAAATGTGCAGCTACTGCGTTATCATCGGGATTCCCAGGCTTCACAGAGAACCTGGGTTTAGGACAGGTAAAGAGGCCTGGGCGGGCTCACTCCTGGGACTGGGCTACTCTTGCCCTGCTGCTCTCTGACACAGGTTGGCTCTTTCTTTACTGGGCAGGTGCTCGTCTGCGGTGTGGTCCACAGGTGTTTCTACTACGCAAGGGTGACAGGAATAATGTAATAAAAGCCCTTGCTTTGTCTTCTGCCTGACTGCAGTCACTTTTGTGGTAAAGGGCTGCACGTGGTGGACACACGCTGGTAAAGGACGCGGCAGCCTCAACTACTCACAGAGCTTTAATGGGGCAGAGCCAAGGACTGGCTGCACAGTCACTGGAACGAGAAGCCGGTGCTGGGGAGCCCGCCGCACCACTGGCTGATGAATTTGAGCACGTCCTGGCACACTGGGCTGTGGGAGGTCTGTGGGCAAAGGGGGGCATGAGAGGAACACCTCGGGCCGTCGTGGGGCCACCAGCTCCTGGTGTCACGAGGGCAGCTCAGGGTCTGTACTGGCCTTCTGGACAACCCTACTTATGGCACCCAACTCCCAGCCCTTGTCCTTTGGGACTGAGTCCCTCTCTCACCTTGATGGCCATGAGAAACTTGTTCCAGTTGTCTTTGTTAGCAGCCTTCCCTGGCCGCTTAAACTCAATTTTGTTCCTCAGGATGGGGTAACCTGTGGCGGAAGATAAGCAGATGATGGCGCTTGCAAGAGAAAGGGAAGCGTGAACACTGGCCTGGGGTGGAGTGCAATGGGCGGTCCTGTCACTGAAGTGAATTTTGACGCCGCTGCTTTTGTCTCTTTCTGTCTGCCATGGGATTGGGGTGGTATGGAGTTGTATACCTGTAATGAGGCAGGGCAGTGCCCGCACCCCAGTGCTCGCTGCTACTAGGGAAGCCTCATAGACGCCACGCTCATCCCGGGGCAGAACCTGCTCCAGCCTCTGGTCCATGGAGACTGTGAGCACCCAGTCTCGAACCTCTTCTCTCTGGGCCTCCTGGAAGAGAGGTAGCACTAGCTTCACATGAGGCTGTGGGCTTGGGGAGGGGGTGAGGACAGTGCCTTCCTGAGTCCTCAGCCCATACATTAGCTTTTAGCTATAAATAGTCCCTTAGATTTGAAGGACCTAGCCACTGCCTCTACTTCTCCTGATGTCGCTGAAAAATAGCATCCCAAAGCCATCTTCCCTTCTCAGTGCCAACCCACTGGTGACACCTTACCGGTACGTGCTGCTTGGCCGGGAGTGGCACCTCAAAGGGAATGTCTGTGTCCTGGAAGTCTGAGTGGTCAAGGGCATCCAGAGTCCCCTCTTCAATTGCCTGTAGCAGAGCAGTCCACCGTGAGATAGGCCCAGCTGGTGACCGGCAAACCTGACCTCTGGACACAGCTTCCCTACTTACATCAGTCAGATCCAAAAATCGGTTGAGGAAAATGAAGGCCATATTTTCCCAGCCGACTTCCTGGAACAGAAAAGTCGTAAATGGGTGTGAGGGAGAGCGTAAATGGGTATGAGGGAGAGCGCTCCCCGAAGAGGCAGAGTGTCGTCAGCATCAGCCCTGTTGACGGCTTTGCTCAGGCGGCCTCCATCTTCCTTGTTCCCCAGCTCCACCCTTCCCTTGACCCGGCTCACCTTTGCGGCAGTGCCTGCTTCATAGAAGGCCTTGTCTGCAGGTAGTAACTGGGTGTGGCGCAGGAGTGAGATAGAGAGCCTGGCAGCCACGGTTTCCTGGGGGTTAAAGGCAGTTTACGATCCTGGTCCTGTGGTGCCTGAGGTGCCAGACCAAGGAGCCTGTAACTAAGGCAGCCACAGAGCCAGAGAACCAGCAGGCAGCTCTGAAACACTCAGAGCTCAGGCTACTTTGGTCTTAGTTCTTTTCATCAGCTTAGCATGACCAGCTCAGGTTACGTATAGGGCTCTTTCTACTTCTAGAATTTGACAAAGTACATGAAATGTATGTACAGTTATAACCAAATAAGTCAAAAGTGTATGTACTTCTAGGAGGTACACAAAAACTAATGTGATATTTGAACGTCTCCACATAACGAGGCTGGTAGAGCTGTGGGCAGAGCCCTATTTATGGTCAGAACAGTGTGGAAAGAAACTCGGTCTCAGCAAGCATTAACGACTGATTAACCGAAGAGAAGCACAAAGGGAAACATGTGATTCAAGAGTCTAACCTCAAAGGTCAGAACTTGGACGTGTGTGGCTTCCTAGGTTTGAAGGTGTGTCCGTGTGACCGAGAGGGCTCTGTCCTGAGTCTTACCAGCTGTTTGATACTCTGGGCTGCAGACCGTGTCGCATAGTAGTGAGCGATCAGCAGCATCATCTCAAACTCCTCGTGAGCTGCCGAGTTGGCCTCGCTGGACTTCACCAGGTTTTCACACTAGAAAAGGGTCAGGGAAAGCATAGTTAGGCTCGGGTCAGAGGAGGGCCAAGGAGGTCATAGAGTGGTCACTGTTGGCCCTTTGGACTGAGACAGTAAAGGTTTATGTACACCAAAGAGACTAGGACAGAAAGAACCGTCTGTTTCACCGCTGACCCTTCCTTACCAGGTTGAAGAGGACGTCCCGAAGATCAGCCCAGCTATGGTAGGCCTCGGCATTGTTGGTCCCAGGAGAGCTAACCATGTCGGTGAAGATCCTTTTGTAGATGTTAAAGTTCTAGGGGTTGGGGGGAGGGGACTCGAGTGAGGGAACTGTGTGTATAGTAGCTAAGAAATTGACAGAGGGAGAAGAGGCATAAGAAAAAAAAAACCTTTGGCAGGACCACCTGGATTTTAAGGTTATCCTAGGCTCCTAGTTCCAGGCTGGCCTAGCCTACGTGAAATCCTGACTCAGAAAACAGACAAAACTCCCAACGAAAAACATCATCGTGTTAGCTGGTGTTCAGTGAGAGTGGGCGACTATACAAACGTGAGTGCAGCTATGACATTAACAGGCTAATAGTCTAGAACACTGATGCTCCATAGGACAGTGCCAGTTCTGGAGGAAACCAGTGAAGACCCTTGAAGGGTGCCTATGCTTCCTCATGGACAGACAGGTCTGTGTGTGTCTATAAGAACACGGATAGCTGCTTGGGTGTAAATCCTCCAGAGAGTCTGTTTCAGCACAGGAGTCTTTGAGACAGCCGAGGGGATGATTGGTTCTAAAGGATGAAGAAGGAATTCCTTAGTGGGAACATTCATCCCAAGAAGGCTGGTACCTGTGGGTTAGCAGGGGCTCCATGTTGCACATAGAGGGCCAGTGCCTGGGCATAGCCACCTTCTCGGATCAGATGAGTTGCATACAAAGCCACATACTTGTGCAGAATCTTGTAGTTCTGTTTGGGAGTGGAGGGACAGCACCGACAAGGCTGGGATCAGCAACAGCAGGCCGTGACAAGGGACCAGGGTGCCGGGTGTTGGTGGCTCACGCCTTTAATCCCAGCACTCGGGAGGCAGAGGCAGGCGGATCTCTGTGAGTTTGAGGCCAGCCTGGTCTACAGAGTGAGTTCCAGGACAGCCTCCAAAACAATACAGAGAAACCCTGTCTCGAAAAACCAAAACAAAAAAAAAAAACAAAAAAAAAGGAGGCAAAGGGCACTTGCGATTCTGATGACAGTATCAGAAAGGAGAAGGGTGCTCGCTGGTGCTCCTTAGGAGCCTTTGAAGATGGGGCACTTGGGAAGGGCAGGCTGCTCGGGAGCAGGGAAGGAGTCGGGAAGATGGTGAGGGGGGGGACAGCAGTACCTGCTTGGTAGCTGTTTCGATGCACTTATCCCACTGACCCTGCTCCACGTACAGGTCTAAGGCAGCTACTACGTCCACACCCACCAGCTGTGGAGCAATCAAGAAGGCAGACGTGCTGAGAGGAGGACACGGAGATCTCTAGTACTGCATCAGGAATTTGGCTTTTACTCTTGGTGGTGCTGGGGACTGAACCCGGGGCCTTATACAGGCAAGGCAAGAGCTCAAGCATCCAGTTAGGCCCTCTGGCCTCTTCCTGCACTCTGCCTCCTGACTCTGAGACCCTTACCGAATCCACTTTGCCCTGGTTCTTGAGGAACTCCTTATAGTGCTGGTCCACATAGTCTTCATACCTGGGAAGATGTACAGAGATTGCCAACTCCATGGCCCTGCGACACCACACCCTTCCCATAAGAACTTTCCCCCAGTGTTTACAAAAGGAACTAAAAGGAGACTCTCCTAGCCGTTACCGGGGGTCTAACTCTTTGGCCACGCGCTTGGCCTTGTTCCATTCTTCACCCTCAATGAAAGCATCAATTGCTTCTTTGACAAGGTCCAGGTTCAGATAGAGCTCTGCAGCCTGCAGTGGGAGAGTGAACACTAGCCATGTGGCCTCCCACTTGGCCAACTCCCTCTCCCCAGAACACTGCCACACCTGCCAGAGGGCCACCGTGCACATCAGGGTGATGTCGCCACTCCACCCACGACCATGACACGATGTTGGTCCCGGCACCTACTTACAGCACTGTGCTTTCCGATTCCGATCAGCTGGGGACCTACAGCCCGAACTACTTCCAGACTGCGCTGGGGAGGCAGAAACTTGATGGACAGTTCAGCGGCCTGAGAGATTGAACAGAGGCGGGAAGGCACAAGAGTCTCCCGGTTGACCACCAGGGCACAGCTCATTTCCCGCATGAGCTCGCTGCGTTTTCTCTGTCACTGGTAGACTCTTGGTAGCGTGTTATAGAAACTGAAATGAGACTGCAGGGAACCCTGCAGCTGTTTGGGCAAATACCAATAACTAAGTTAAATGATTATTATGTTGAGATGTCAATATTTTAAGGATTTTGCTTACTTTCATATTATGTGTATGGGTATTTTGCCTGCATTTTTTTCTGTGTCTAGTGCTCATGGAGGCTAGAAGAGGACATTGGGTTCTTTGGAACTGGAGTTCCAGATGGTTGCGAGTTGCCATGTGGGTGATGGGAACATAAACTGGGTCCTCTGGAAGAGCAACCACTGCTCTTAACCACTGAGCCATCCCTCCAGTCCAGAATGTCAACATTTAAAGGTTCATTTAGGGGTACTGCAATTATTTTCAATTCCCTCTCTCTCTTAGAAACCTGAAACAACACATTTGTAGCTAGCACAGGGTTCCCAGCAGACAGTGCTGGTCAGGGTGCTTTTGGCAGCTCTGTTTCCACTGGGGTGTGCACATCCTCACTGATTTTAATTTCCATGTGATTCAATTTATGTACCGTCTAGACGAATTCCCCTGCCCTTCCCTTCCCTTCCTTGGCTTGCTTAAAGCATGCTTTCTCCTCATCCAGAGAGCCATCCTGTGACCACCCTGAAGGAACAGTCCTGCACATGCTTTGGTGAACAACGTGGAAGGTACCAGATACTTAGTGCTTGATTAAACCTCACAACCAGACATCAGTCTCTACTTCCTTTGTTCCACCTTCTGGGACCCAGACTTTCAGAGTATCTTGCATGGACATCAACACAACAGTGTTTAATTTAGAGAGCCAGTAATCCTGCCCCCAGGGCTCACCATTTAAATCACACATACATGCTTAATGCAAAGATAATAAAAGGGGTTGGCTTATGGTTCGTTTTTCGTGATGACTGGGATACACAGTACACAGGCATTGTTCCGACAGGAGTAACATTTAAATTGTAAAGCAGATTGGCCTTCCTAATGTAGACAGCTTCATCCAGTCAGCTGAAAGCTTGAACTGAACAAAAGGCTAACTGAACAAAAGGTAAAGAAAACTCTTCCTGGATTTCTCCTGCCCTCACTCTGCAACTGAAATGCTGACTGGGTCTCCAGCCCCAGCCCTCAGACAGGGACTGCAGCGCTTTCCCTCCTGGCCGTCCTGCTTGCAGACCTTGGGACTCTCCACTTCACTAACTGTGTGAGCCAGTTTCTTATCTCAGCCATGTCTATACGCACTTCAGCTTGTCTTCAGCTTGGTGAAGAATACTGGGTTGGCCCAGGCTGCGAAAGGAGAGCTGTCGGGCAGGGGCACCAGTGCCTTTGTCATGGCTTCACCTATGCCCCCGGCTCTGGGGTTCTTCTGGCTCCCACTCAAGTCCTTCCTCAGAGAACCTTCTGGACTGTTCCAGCCCACAGAGAGCTCGTGTCTCTGAACTCCACTTCCTACACCTCAGTCTTTACTCAGGTTTGGTAGTAATTAAGCCCCTAACGTCTGTCTGTCTGGGGTGTTTGTCTTACATCCTTCTAGTGTTCGGGTGTGGCTCTAGTGTGCACAGCGGCACTCAGCAGGTATCTGTTACTCGGAATGCAGTCACAGGAGCATTAGTGAGTGTCTGGGAATGCAGTGACAGGAGCATTAGTGAGTGTCTGGGAATGCAGTGACAGGAGCATTAGTGAGTGTCTGGGAATGCAGTGACAGGAGCATTAGTGAGTGTCTGGGAAGGCGGCTGAGGGAAGGAAGGGACCCAAGGGCGTCGGCTGGGAGCACTGGAGCCTCACCTTCATCCAGCACTTCTCCATCAGGCCACTGCTTCCCGAGTCCCGAACTTTGAGATAGCAGTCCACTGCACGGCCGTGCTCCCCTGCCTGCTCCCAGTGCCGCGCCTGCTCCACAAGCCCCTCCACGCCTCTGTGGGGTGGGCGACAATAATGATCAGGACTGGGGAGGGGCAGTGTGGCACAACACTGCCAGGACAGTGGCTTCTTACCTGCCTCCCTTCTTGGTGGCTTCTCGCTCATACTCTTCTTGTAGGGCCTCTAGCTGGCCAGGCACATAGTCCTTGCAGATCCGCAGAGCGTCACTCCAGAGTCCAGCCTCCTGCTCAGATTTGCAGCCATCAGAAGGGCAGAGGTGGGGGCTCTGATGCTTCCTACTGCTAGGTGGGTTCCTCTGGCCTGGTCCCTGACTCGTTTGCCTTCTCCCTTCTCCTGCTTGTCCTTTCTCTCTCCTGCCTTCTTCAGCACCAGGAATCAGTGTGGATCTGTGGCCTCTGACCATCTCATCCTCCCTTTGTGGCCCAAATATAGCGACTCACCTTATAAAAATTAAGAGCCAGGCCTGGTCTCTGGGCCCGAAGCAGCAACCCTTCTGCCTTCTGAAAGTCCTTCTCCTCCAAGGCCCCTCGGGCCTGACCTACAAGTACCTCAGCAACACTGTCAGGGTCATGGGCCTCCGCCACACGCTGAGCTGCCTCCCAGTCCTGGTTGTGGACAAACCTGTCCAAGATGGGGACATGGAAGATGTTGAGTAAAGGACAGAAGCCTCAATGGTGGGAGACAGACAGTCGTATAACTGATGATGACCACGAAAGATCCTGAGGCAGTATCTTTATCCCGTCCCAGGGCAGGGTAAAGAACCTGCAGTTGGGGGCTGGAGAGATGGCTTAGTGGGTAAAGGTGCTTGCCACAAAAACTGATGACCTGAGTTCAAATCCTGGAACCCGAATGATAGAAAGAGAAAACCAGCACCTGCAAGTTGTCTTCTGACCTCCACACATGTGCTATGGCATGCATTTCCATACCCATAAACAAACAGAAAAAAATGTATGGGGAAACTCACATGAGGACTGCCTCTTTGGGTTTACCAGCTCTGATGAATTCGGCTTCAGCCTCTTCAAATTTACCCTAAACAAAAAGACAGTCGCATGCGGTGAAAAGGAGCTTGGTATCACAGGCAATTAGGAGGCGGGATTGAACTGGTCACAGAGGTGTACAAAATTACATCCATACCTCATCCTCCAGATACATGGCATATCTGAGATGAATCTCTGGGGTTTTGTGCTTGAGGGCTAGCCGGGAGAGTTCAAAGGCAAATTCAAAGGAGCTGAAATGGAAGATGTAGACAGTTTGGGCACAATACTTAGAGAAGATGGAGAAGACAACCGCCGGGGGAAGAAAGGCAGACTCCGACAGCGCGGGTAGAAGTGGCCGGACAGTCCTGTGCTCTGCTGAGGCCAGCAGGAGAGCTCCTGCAGCCCCACCCCCAGCAATGCTGAGTCCCAGCCTGCAACTCTGCTCCTGTGCCTTTGTTGTTGTTAAGAAATGCAGACAGACATTTGCCAGGGCGATAGTGACGCACACCTTTAACCCCAGCACTTGGGAGACACAGGCAGGCAGATCTCAGTGAGTTCAAGGCCAACCTGGTCTACAAAGTGAGTTCCAGGACAGTCATGACTGTTACACAGAGAAACCCTGTCTTGAAAAACCATTTAAAAAAAATGCAGACATTTGCACAGATCAGTAGTGTGTGCTGCAGTAGATAACCCCCTCTCATGTTCGTTCATACAGGCAATCCTGATTAAACTTGGGTCACAAACAAAAGATATCACAGTAAGAGACAGACAAGCCGGGAGCCATCAGAAGTGGGAGAATAAGACGAGTAATGGGGGTATGACCACAATGCATTGCATGTATTCATGAATTGTCTAAAAGATAAAGAGAGAAATACACATTTTTCATTTAACAGAACTACACTTTGATGACCCAGATATGTTACTGACTTAGTATAGTTCTAGCTTTTGGAGACGTTCCTGCCCCACCCATCTCTTTAGAAGCTTTGGTAAAACACCCCCTTCCAAAGATCTCTGTTATTCTCTCTCTGTCTCTGTCTCTCCCCCTCCCTCCCTCCCCCAACCGTTTTACTATGTAACCCTGGCTGGCTGGCCTGAGACTATGTAGACCAGGCTGGCCTTGAACTCACAGAGCTCTACTTGCCTCTGTCTCCCAAGTAGTGGGATGAGAAGTGTCCATTATGCCTGGCCAATTTTTCATTCTCTTTTGTTTGTGTAAAGACTGGCCTCAGACTCGCTATGCAGCTGACGCTGGCCTTGCACCTGTGACCCTTCTGCCTCACCCCAAGTGGCAGGATTGTGCAGTGGCACCACCATGCCTGGCTCATGCTTTGATTTTGGCCTCAGCTTTTGGGATTATTTTTCAGTGTTTGTCGGTTTTCTTTCTCTGTGTATGGGCTGCTCTGAGTGGGATGGAGCCAGTGGAGAGGACGTTTCACCCGAGACCCACCAGTTGTCAGCCGCGTGGTCAACAGCAGCCTCTAGAAGCCCCAGCTTGTTAAGCAGCCTGACTGCTGCCTCTCCTCCCAGGCTCTTCGCCCACAGATAGGCCACGTGTTTGTGGGCGTTGGTCCCTCCATGGGCTTTGGCCACCTGCAAAACAAAGTTGCAAGAGCGCTGCCCCCTGCAGAGCTGCCCCTTGTCATCTCTGGCCCCTGCCTCTGGACCCTGCTGCAGATGGACATTGAAGAGGGCCAGGTTTCAGGTCTCTAAAGTAGGTCACAGTGTTCAGGGACAGAGGGTGGACTTCGGGAAAGCCATAAGCAAAACATTGTGTTGTGCTTCTGACAAAAAATACCCTGGGCTTTGTGACTTCAGTTAAAATTAGTTACGTGAGAACGGGCAAGAGGGACGCATGAAGTCCTTACCCGGTAGGCCTCCTCCCAAAGCCCGCTGGACCGGTACATGTTCACAGTTGCCTTCCACTCCTGGGCCTCTAGGTAGTGATACTCAGCCTCTTGCAGTCGGCCTTCGGCCTCCAGCTCCTGTAGGATAGTGTGTCAGGATGGAGGGGGATGGACCCTGCTGTGAGGGATGGGCAGGCCAGCTAGAAGGGCTCACCTTGCCCAGGTGAAGGTGTGTGTCACTGAGGAGATCTGGGTGGTGCTTCCCTACCAGGCGGATCATGTCATCATACAACTTGTGCTTTTTGAACATGGTGATGGCAAGATCGGGCTCCTCCACTGTCACGTACAGCCTGCAGACAGGGGACGCACCTGGAGCCTCCCACAGCTAGATCCCTGCGGCTGCTGCTTCTGGGAGGGGCCACACAGCCTCGGCCCCTCCCCTTCGTCACGCTCTGCCTCCTCAGCCCCTCACACTCACCTTTCGGCCTCTCGGTACTTGCCCTGCTTCTCCATTTCCTGGGCCTGCGTGATGTACAGCACCGACACATCCTCCGGCCGCATGCATCTCATTGCCAGCTGTGAACATGGAACCCAGGGAGCTTCAGCTGCCAGGAAACTCATCTGCTCTTGAACTCTGAGTTCTCCCAACAGTTGCTGGCATGCAGTTATCGCCACTCTGCTAGTCAGTTTAGACAATGCCACGTCCACCAGGTGCCCATGAAGAGCACGAGGAGTGGTGACATGCGGCACACGCTACATTGCCACACTTCTGCTCACTCTACGGAGCTCTGGATACAGGGGAGAGGACAGAGGTAGAAAGTGACCAGGGGCTTCGGGGTGGGAGTTCAGAATGCCGGGCTCCCAGGTCCATCCGCTGTCTTTAGCACTGCAGGTTAAGGAACAGGGACCTCATTTATTCCCGGTGTTAGAGATCCAAGTTGGCCAGGCTGTATTTTAGTACTCTTTCTTAGCTCTCAGGGAACCAGAAAAGGAGGTATCAGAGATCAAGGAGAGAGGCAACACGGCCACTAAGGCCGAGTTCTTTCCTCATGGACACTGCTTATTCTCTATTCTCTACCTTGTGGGCTTGCTCCCAGCGGCCAGCCTGGGTGTACATGTCTATAGCATCTTTGGTCCGGTCTCCTTTGGTGTAGAGTTCCTCAGCAATCTAAAATTGAAAAGATGTCACCTAGGATGGTGGAGAGCCTGGAACACCACTTTGTAGTAATCCTGAGGAAAAGATGACTCTAGGAAAAGACTAGATCAAAGCAGGGTGAAAACAATCGTGTGTGTGCATGTGTGTGTTAATGCACATGTGTGTGGTGTGTGTGCATGTGTCAGGTACACACATAAACACAGAAGCAAGAGGAGAGAGTGCTACCCTGTCACCCTCTGCCTTGCTTCTTTGAGGCGGGGTCTGTTTCTGAAGGTGCATGTTTAGCTAGGCTGGTGGCCAGCAAGCCCCAGGCAGGGGGTCCTCTCGTCTTCACCTGCCACAGCTCTGGGCCACAGGTATGTGCAAGCCCACGTGGGTGCTGGTATCTGAACTTAGGTTCCCACGGCAGCATAGCATATTCAAGTGGAGCTTCAAGGGCCTCCCATTTCTGCCGTGCAGGGCAGTCTACACCAGCGGTGCTGGAGTCACTCATGAAGCATCACTTGAGCTGGCACAGGAAAGAGACCTAGAGGTCACTCTATCTGGGGCATCTGTGTCATGCCGGGGTGATGGCAGGTAAGTGAACCTCCTCAACCAGGGATGCTGTCTGAGCTCCAGCAAGAAGGGCGTGGTGAGTTGCCCACATCTTGTTTCGAGGGGACGTCCTTACTGCCCTGCACCGCATTGCTTCAGTGCTGCAGAGAGATTCTCACCTCATACTCCTGCAGAGACGCATAGTGTTGGGCCACACGAGGATAGTATTTAGACGCCGTGTTTCGATCCTGGAGATCTAATATATAAATTGCCTTCTTCCACTGGCGGGCACCCAGAGCAGCCTCAATCGCTTTAATGGAGCACCTGGCACAGTAGGAGAGATGTTCAATATGTATGAGCAGAGAGAAGGATGGGAAGCAGTAAGAGGCCCCTGAGCACATTCTAACCCACAGTTTGAGATCTCTTCCTCTGTCGCTCAGATTTCCCACTTCATGCCCAAATCCCCATGCCCCATGCCACCATACCTGGCTTCAATGTAGTGGTTGATGGCTGCGTCCAGCTGCTTCTGCTGCACCAAGTAGTCCCCCCAGGCCTCCTCCAGCCTCACAACCTCCACCGGGAAGGCCAGTCGAGCCAACTCGACCGCTACCAGGGAGAGAAGAGGCACTTGGCTCAGAATCCCACGGATGGGGCTCAGGAAAACAGGACAGGGAGATAAGCATGGGCGAAGGGATGAGGAGCGGGGACTGCAGAAGAGCTCAGGTCAGCCAGACGGGTGGCTGACCCCCTGCATGGGGAGGGGTGTATTGCGGTAAAAGACGGCTCAGGAGCAGCCAGTACCTTTCATGAATGCATTGCCTTTACAGTAGCACTCAAGAGCCCGCTGCAGGTTTCGAATCTTCTCAAAGAGGTCACCTGCCTGTCAACACATACATGACTCCAGTGAATGAACCCGCTGACACAAAGAACCAGGAATCAGCTCCCCAAAGAAGAAATGCTGGCAGTCATGGAGAGCTGTGTGTCCCCAAGTCTCCTTGGGTGAGGGAGGGGTTAGGTCCTGGAGATAAGGGCCAGGAAAAGGTTCAGTCTGCTTACCCTTTCGTAGAGCTCCCCCTTGATGAGGGCCGTAGTGATGTGTTCCACCAGCTCTGTGTTGGCCAGCAGCTCCTCTCGGGTCAGCACCAGCCGTGCAGCTTTGGCAGGGAGCCCAGCTTTGAGGTAGAGGCTGATGGCTGCCAGCCCATCCCCTTGGCTCTCCTGCAGCTCACCCGCTCGCTCCTCTTGCTGTGTGTCCATTAGCCACTGGTAGTAATCCCTGCGCAGCTTCTCCAGGGCTGGGTGTCCCTAGACATGCACAAAGGGGGCTAGGAATTCCGCGTCTCTCCTGCTCCCCTGTGACAGTGGCTCTTCCCACAGCACCAATACGTTAATCCCTCGCCATATCAGCCAGCCCCAATCCCATTCCAGATTCTATGGCTTCCTTGGGGAGAGTTCTGAAATTGGTGAAGCCAAGTTCTGACCAGCTGTGAAGAGAAGACAGAGTCAATACCTTGGCCTCGGCCACAGCGACACACTCATCCCAGCGGTGCAGCTCCTGGTACATGTCCATGGCCTCCTCGACAGCATTCTAAGGGCGCCACATGGGAGGAACAGGGTCCCAGGGAGGCGGGGTCAGTAAGACCTCTCAGCCTGACTAAGATGCCAGGCAGGAATATGTTCTGTGTGTGTTCACACTGAAACTTGAACATATGCCTTGCACACGTTAAGCCCATGCTCAACTACTGAGCTACGCACCTGGCTCAGTGATGGATTTACCACAAACAAAAAGAAGCTTGAGATTCTTGTCTGCACAGGTCCCCAAGGCCATTTAGCTTAAAGAAGGCTTCTTAGACTGTAAAAGTTTTGACCTCCACAAAAAATTTGGATCTACTGTGTGCACAAGAATTGTAAAGACCAGCTGGGCAGTGGTGGCACACACACCTTTAATCCCAGCACTAGGGAGGCAGAAGCAGGCAGATCTCTGTGAGTTCGAGGCCAGCCTGGTCTAGAGAGCTACAAAGAGAAGCCCTATCTTGAAAAAAAAATGCAAAGACCACTAAATGAATGAATAAAATACCGCAAAGACAGGTTCTAGAGTAGAGAGGAGCTAAGACACTGTTTTTGAAAGAAAAAAAATTAAAGACCAAAGGTGAATGTTTGCCTAGATAAAGATTAACACCGAGGAGGAACCTAAAGATGGTGTGGGATGAACTCTAAACCCAAGTTCTTCCCAAACTTTTGGAAGACAGTCGACATTCTTCTTCCCCTCCCAAGACCCCCTCTTCCATCCTGTCCCTCTTTTCCCATTACCTGTTCCAAGAAGATCATTTCTGCCAGTTTGTAGTTCTTTTCCAGCATAGCCAGCCGTGCTCGAACCTGATAGAAGTCAGTTCCTTCTCCGCCCTACAGGGAAAAGAATGTTTAGTCATTCAGTGCAGGCAGACACAGGAAGGTCAGGAGGACATAGAGGCTAACAGACTTGAGAAGTTAAAGATCTTTAAGGGACTTAGCAGCCTGAGGTTTCACAGGCAATTCCAAAGTGGTCCAATTTTAGGGACCAGGGATGGGCAGGGTAGAAGCTAGAGAGGCTGAAAAAACTAAAACTAACAGAAATTTCAGCTTGGGAGACTGAATAAGTCAAGAGGATGATACTTGCATATTCCCTGGACACCTGATCTGCAATCTCATTGGTCTCATGCAGGAATCGAGCTTTTGCCACATGACCCAAAGCCGAAAAGCACCTATAGCATGGAGGCAATAATACCAACAGTTACATTATTACAGGATTGCCATTAGGTCACTGGTTCCACAAATACTAGTGACATCCAATGTGTGCCCAAAGAGGAACGGAAAGGGGAAAGCCTTGCCCTTGGGGATTTTCCATTCCAGTGGAGACAAATAATAGTAAATGGACAAAGATGAGGAGAGACTGAGAAGTAAAACGAGTGCGGCGGTGCTGTCACCAATGGCTGAAAAGACCATGGAAATCGGCTGGGACCTGGCTACAAGAAGCAGCTAGTCTGGCCTGGCAGAAGTATGCTCACCGTTTAAAAGTGGCAACTCTGTTAAGGGGGTAACCAAGAACTTTCTCATTGGATTTCAGGCCTGCTCCACAAGAGCGAATTTACATCGGGTGCTGTAAAACTGGACCAGGGTCTGTGACTGGGGAAGCCATAGACCCTGGTGGGAAGCCACCACTGCTTTTTGTTTGTTTTTTGCTAAATGTACATGCTGTGCTCATCAGATTGCCCTCCAAATAATTATGTGTATGTCCATTGGCCAGGGCTGCCATCGGCACTGGTGCAGCGGGCAGATGGAACTGCAGGGACATAACCGGCAGGAGTGATGACAGTGACTACTGAATGCGCAGCTGTAAGCCCTCTAAGGTTCAGAGAGCATCGTGGAAGAGGGAGTGGAAAGAGTGTAAGAGCTGGAAGAGAGGGTAGCACGTTGTCTTATGGCTGTGCCATGTGGGGGCCAACACACCCTGCTGTGGGGATGGTCCCACCCCTCTTTCAGGGCCTATGGGCAGTTAATGGTTAGTGGGGGAAGGAAAGACTTTCTTTAGCGGTGTGGCCACTGGTAAGGTGCCCATGCTCCTGTAAAGAATCCCTCATCCGCCGGGCGGTGGTGGCACACGCCTTTAATCCCAGCACTCGGGAGGCAGAGGCAGGCGAATCTCTGTGAGTTCGAGGCTGGGCTGGACCGACAGCCTCCAAAATAATACAGAGAAACCCTGTCTCGAAAAACCAAAAAAAAAAAAAAAAAAAAAAAAAAAGAATCCCTCATCCATGCTCCCTTAAGCAACTCTACAGAAACTCACAGAATCATCAAAAGCAAAAGATACTAAGGCAGAAGGGGGACTGGCTGGGAAGAAGGGGATCAGAGGCAGTGAGAGGCAACAAGAGAGGGTAACGGGATAAATATGATAAAAATGCATTGCAACACCACAAGGAAACCCATTAGTATATGTGAATAATATATGCTTATGGAGACATTTTAAAGAGCGTTAGTCATGGCAAGATGGGGCAGAAGGAACGGCTATGCAGCACTCCCAGCGAGGATGACGGCCCGCTCAGAGCTAAAGGATACAATGTGGCTAGAACCTGATGGCAAGTGGACGACTGGGATAAGAAGGACAGAGGCAGATACTTGCAGGGCCACTGGCACAGCAAGCTGTCTAGGTTTTATATTGAACGTAACAGTAAACTATTGGAAAATTCTAGGCAAAAACAATTATACAACATAATGGGTCTCATAGTCCATGACCTCATTATGTAGTCAAGGAACTTCTGGTCCCCCTGTCTCTACCTCCCAAATGCTGAAATTACAGACAGGCAGGCTATACTGTCTGCTATAAGTGGTGCTGGGGAGGAAAGCCAGGGCTCCATGCATGCTAGGCACACACTCTAGCAACTGAGTTACAGCTCCAGCCCTCTAACGGTTTTAAAAGATTGTTTTAGTTATTGTTTGTTTGTGTGTATTACATGTGTGTGAATGCAAGCATGTCTGTGTTTTGCTGTGCATGTAGATGTCACAGAATAACATAGGAGAGTTGGTTTTCTTCTACTACGTGTTCTGGCAACTGAACTCTGGTCAACAGGCGTGTGCAGCTACATAAAAGTTTGAGGCCAGCCTGGGCTACACAAGACTTTGCTTTAACAAAACTGGGACGGGAACAATGGCTTAGCAGTTAAAGAGCATTTGTTGCTCTTATAGAAGACTAGAGTCTGGTTCCCAGCACATACAAAGTGGTTCACAACCATCTGTAACTCCAGTTTCAGGGGATCTGATGGCATCTGCTGACCTCCATTGGTACCAGGAATACATGGGTGCTCAGATATATATGCAAGCAAAACAGTCATACACATAAAAATAAAATAAATATGCCTTAAAAAGTAAAAAACAGATAGATACAAAGATGGATACATAGACACATAGAAAAGATATACTCCTTGGGACTTGCTGATAGTCTCCATGGGGTCAAGGGAGGAGGGGATCCTACACCTCTGGCCTCTGCAGGAACCATCATTCATGTAGACACACCCACACACAGACCCCCCACACATTGTGGTACTTTAGATGAGAATGCCTCCCACAGGCTCAGATATTTGAATACATGGGCCCCAGTTAGTGGAACTGTTTGGGAAGGATTAGGAGGCGTGGCCTTGTTGAGGAGACGTGTCACTAGGGGTGAGGCTTTGAGGTTTCAAAAGTTTTCTGCCATCTCCAGTGCTGTCTGTTTGCTGTTCCAGGATGTGGGCTCTCAGCTGTCCAGGTCGCTACGCCACTGTGGATTCTAACCCATGGAACTATAAGCCCTTTTCGTACTTTCTTTTATAGGCTACCTTGGTCATGGTGTTTGTGCCTAATACACACCCAGTTAAAAATAACAATCTTAAAACTTTAAAAGCTTAAAAAACAAACAAACAAACAAACATAAAAACCTCTTGGGCTGGGAATGCTGCTCAGTAGTGGAATGCTTGCCTGATAAGCATATAGTCCTGGCTGGATTCGCAACATCAGAAACAGAGAAAAGCAAGAAGTAGGTAAACAGCAACAATGCAAACCAGAAACAACCTTGCAAAGAAGGGGAAGCAAAATCTTCGGGCATATTTGGAGCTAGAAGGATGGCTCTGCGGTTAAGAGTGTGCACTGCTCTTATAGAGACAGGAGTTTGATGCCCAGCACATCCAGCAAGGATTTGGAGCTAGAAGGATGGCTCTGCGGTTAAGAGTGTGCACTGCTCTTATAGAGACAGGAGTTTGATGCCCAGCACATCCAGCAAGGCAGTTCACACACAAATTTTTTTTTTTTTTTGGTTTTTACAAGACAGGGTAAATATTTTAAAAGATATATTCTTTAAATCTAGGGTAGAGGGTGTCTGGAGTAAGTACACCAGGGAGGGTGTGGGGGGGATGGGGAGAGAGAAGCAGTGACTACACACAGGACAGAAGCAGCCCAGAGGTGACCACACAGAGTGACCACACACACAGAGTGACCACACACACAGAGTGACCACACACACAGAGTGGCCACACACACAGAGTGACCACACACACAGAGTGACCACACACACAGAGTGACCACACACACAGAGTGGCCACACAGAGTGACCACACACACAGAGTGAGCACACACACACAGAGTGACCACACACACAGAGTGACCACACACACAGAGGTGACCACACACACAGAGGTGACCACACACACAGATGACCACACACACACACAGAGTGACCACACACACAGATGACCACACACACAGAGTGACCACACACACAGAGTGACCACACACACAGAGTGACCACACACAGAGGTGACCACACACACACAGAGTGACCACACACACACAGAGTGACCACACACACAGTGACCACACACACACAGAGTGACCACACACACACACAGAGTGACCACACACACAGAGTGACCACACACACACACAGAGTGACCACACACACAGATGACCACACACACAGAGTGACCACACACACAGAGTGACCACACACACAGAGTGACCACACACACAGAGTGACCACACACACAGAGGTGACCACACACACACAGAGTGACCACACACACAGTGACCACACACACACAGAGTGACCACACACACACAGGTGACCACACACACAGATGACCACACACACAGAGTGACCACACACCCAGAGTGACCACACACACAGATGACCACACACACAGAGGTGACCACACACACACAGAGTGACCACACACAGAGTGACCACACACACACAGGTGACCACACACACACACACACAGGTGACCACACACACAGATGACCACACACACAGAGTGACCACACACACAGAGTGACCACACACAGAGGTGACCACACACACACAGAGTGACCACACACACACAGAGTGACCACACACACAGTGACCACACACACACAGAGTGACCACACACACACACAGAGTGACCACACACACAGAGTGACCACACACACACACAGAGTGACCACACACACAGATGACCACACACACAGAGTGACCACACACACAGAGTGACCACACACACAGAGTGACCACACACACAGAGGTGACCACACACACACAGAGTGACCACACACACAGTGACCACACACACACAGAGTGACCACACACACACAGAGTGACCACACACACAGAGTGACCACACACACAGAGTGACCACACACACACAGAGTGACCACACACACAGAGTGACCACACACACAGAGTGACCACACACACACACACAGGTGACCACACACACAGATGACCACACACACAGAGTGACCACACACACAGAGTGACCACACACACACACAGGTGACCACACACACAGAGTGACCACAAACACACAGAGTGACCACACACACACACACACAGGTGACCACACACACAGATGACCACACACACAGAGTGACCACACACACAGAGTGACCACACACACACACAGGTGACCACACACACAGATGACCACACACACAGAGTGACCACACACACAGAGTGACCACACACACAGAGTGACCACACACACAGAGTGACCACACACAGAGTGACCACACACACACAGAGTGACCACACACACACAGAGGTGACCACACACACAGAGGTGACCACACACACAGAGTGACCACACACACAGATGACCACACACACAGATGACCACACACACAGATGACCACACACACAGATGACCACACACACACAGGTGACCACACACAGAGTGACCACACACACAGAGTGGCCACACACACAGAGGTGACCACACACACACAGAGGTGACCACACACACACAGAGGTGACCACACACACAGATGACCACACACACAGATGACCACACACACACAGATGACCCCACACACACAGATGACCACACACACAGAGGTGACCATACATTGGCCTTCTGGCTGCCAGCATTTAAGCCCCACATGGCTCTCACCTCTCAGCAGTGTGGAGCTGCCTGGCCTCCAGGGCCAGTTTGCTCAACGTTTTCCACATGGCCTCTGTTTCTGGGGTCATCTCCAGGGTCTCCAAGAAGGCTGTTGCCCTGGAGAGGAAGGGAGGCAAAGCATAGGAGAGAAGCAGGATCTGGAGGAGCCTCGGAAAACTGGTGCTTCTGGGGCAGCCAAGGAACCCTCTGTCCTTTTGTCTAGGCTCCTCCCACGATTACAGGGCCCCACTGAGCGGTGGCAGTTTAATGGGTTGGGGCAGGTGTCCCCTACACACACTGGCTCACCGCCACACTGGCTGTTAGCAGTCTCTCACCGGGTGTAGTTGCCGTCATCGATGGCTGTTCCAAACTCAATGAGGCCCTCGTCCAGGGTGTAGGCGACAGTAGTCACTCCTTCCGTCACCATCACCTCTGTCTTTCCTCCGCCTCGCTCCAGACCTACAACATCACCCTGCACAGGCCACCCCACAGTTCAGGTCAGCACCCCCACTCACCCAGCTGCAGAGGGCCTGCTCTGACCTGACCCAGGGTTCACACCTGACCCAGGGTTCACACCTGACCCAGGGGTCACACAACGGTTACAGATGTCAGCTCCAGTGCCTGGAGGTATACTTGCAGAGCGTATTACAGACTATAGTATGTAAGTACTATAGATAAGACATGAGTGCTCGTGTGTGTGTGTGTGTGTGCGTGTGTGTGTGTGTGTGTGCGTGTGTGTGTGTGTGTGTGTGTGTGTACATACACCTGTGACTGCATGTATACTAGCAGAGTGTATTACAGACTCTAGTATATAAGTACTATAGACTAAGACATACGCGCTCTGTGTGTGTGTGTGTGTGTGTGTGTGTGCTCGCGCGCGCGCGCACCTGTGACTGCATGTACTTGTGGGACCTCACGGGTGAGAAGGCCAGAAGACAAGCTCAGGTGTCATTCCTCAAGTGCTCTCCACCTTTCCTTCCTTCCTTCCTTTTTTTTTTTCAAGACAGGGTTTTTCTGCGTGGCTCTGGCTGTCCTGGAACTCGCTTATAGACCAGGCTGGCCTCAAACTCACAGAGATCTGCCTGCCTCTGCCTCCCGAGTGCTGGGATTAAAGGCGTGCGCTACCAATGCCTGGCTCAAATAAAATCTTATGAGAGTAAAACCTGTGACACTGGGCATGGACAGTAAAACGACAATGGTGGTGTAAGCAGCAGATAAGGAAAAGAATGAGCTGGAGGATGGATCTGAGGACATTATCCAGAATGTTCGTGGAGCAAGAAGAAGGAAACACAGCAGAGGCAGAAAAGGCAAACAAGACAGAACGAGAACCACAGCATATGCTCAGTTAGAATTTCCTGAGCGAACGGCAACAGTGTTCTGAGAGAGAGTGGCTGAGAAGTTCCCAAGACTGAGGGAGATATGTGTGTTCGCAACTACAGGAAACACAACATATGCTGAATGGAATACATTTAAATTCATACAGAAAGGCTGGGGTACAGCACAGTACTAGACAATTTACTTCTAATGCATAGGTTCAATTGTCAGTCATCCCCTGCAAAAACGAACTAAACCCCAGACCCTCTGACGAGGTGGCCTGTGCCTACAGTCCCTGTCTCTCAGGAGGTGGGGGCAGGAGGACTGCCTAAGCCCAGGAATTGGAGACCAGCCTGTGTTACATGGCAAGACCCCACCACAAGGAAAAAATACTATGGAGAAAAACTGTAGTCAAGTGTCAAAACAGCTAAGAAGAGTAGGTTTTAGAAGCAATCAAAGGGGCTACAGCAGATGGCTCAGAGACTAAGAACGCTGACCGCTGTGGCAGAGGACCTGAGCTTCCTAGCATCCAAGTTGGGCAGCTCACAGCAACCTCTAACTCCAGTTCCAGGGGATCTGATGTCCTCTTCTGGCCCCAGCTGGCACCTGCATGCATGTGTGCACAGGATGCAAGTTAACTATTGGGATAACATGTTAGCTGTCAGTCTGAGGTTAGGTACTGAGTCCAAAAGTGTTTTTAGAGCAAAAGCTAACCAAAACCACTTTCAGATTATCAAAAGATGAGAGATTAAATTTGGGGCAGCAGTCAGCATTTTTAGTCTCTTCCACTAAAGAGACTCTCACTCACCAAAGGAATTTCAAAATTATATTCTCCAGGAAGAAAAATAACTCCTAAGGGGAAATCAACATTGCAAGAAGAAAAAGCAGGAAATGCGCTGCTGGCAAATCTAAGTCCTGTCCATGTAGGACATAAAGTGAGCATGTGTGGTGGCCCACGCTTGTGACACCAGCACTCAGAGAGGCAGAGGCAGGGGGATAAGTTCAGGGCCAGCCTGGGCTATATTACAAGCTCCAGCTCCAGGTCATTTAGGGAGGAAGGAAAAGAGAGAAAGAATGAGAAATTGAATGTGAATGATGCCCATTTGAGGTGTAAAAAAAAATCTTACTAGCCAGGCACAGTGCACAGATCTGTAATCCCGGTACTCAGGCACTTAGGAGGCAAAGGCCAGAGAATAGAACATTCACGACTAGCATGGGCCATACAGCCAGATTCTATACTGAATGACTTAAGGTGAAGCTGAAGAGATTACTCAGTGCTTAGCTCTCACACAGGACTTGGTTTGGTTCCCAGCACCCACAAGGCAGCCCATAACCATCTGTAACTCCAGTTCCAGGAGACCCAACACTTTCTTCTGGGCATCATGGACACCAGACATGCATCATATGGTGCACAGACTTAAATGTAGGCAAAACAAACATCCATATAACATAAAAATAAATATTTTCTACCCCTCAAAAACAAAATGAAACAAAACAAAAAACCCATCAAAACTAAAGGTCTCCTCCTGGAAAGGCACTGCATGTGGTTGGAGCCCAATGGTAAACACTTGTGCAGTGTGCCTGAGGCCTGGGTTTGATCCCAGCACAGCAGCAGCAGCAGCAGCAATGGTGAGGGTTAGAACTGAGAGCTAGAGCCGGGCGTTGGTGGCGCACGCTTTTAATCCCAGCACTCGGGAGGCAGAGGCAGGCAGATCTCTGTGAGTTCGAGGCCAGCTTGGTCTACAGAGTGAGTTCCAGGACAGCCTCCAAAGCCACAGAAAAACCCTGTCTCGAAAAACCAAAAAAAAAAAAAAAAAAAAAAAAAAAAAAAAAGAACTGAGAGCTAGAGAAAAGATTCAACAGGTAGAGACGCTTATTGGCCTGTAGTCAATCCCAGGACCCACAGGTGGAAGGAGAGATCCGACTCCCACACGTTGCCCTCTGACCTCCACATATATGCCATGGTGTTTGTGAATATGTGTGCATATACATACACACAAATAAGTGTAATTAACGTTTAATGGTTAGAATTAAAATACTGGACAAACTAAGAAAAAAGGAAGGTAATCAAAGTTAAAGGCTTTCAAGGTTCTTGTATTATTTGTAGGGGAAAGAAGTTGCATCCTGGCTAACTTGAGTCTTCAAGTACCTGTTAAGCTTTCAAGGATATCGCCAACGGATTCTGGATGATGATGATGATGGTGTGTGTGTGTGTGTGTGTGTGGTGTTGTGATGGGACAGTGGGGAGTGTTTTGTGTGTAATTTGAGAAAGGAGGAATTTTGAATGGCCTGTAGCAGTGAACAAGCATAAGGATAACATGGAACCATCCCTCCTACTGGGGTCTATCCTCTAGACTAGAAAGAATGCCATATGGTGACTTCATACAGTCCCAGGGCCACTGGAATGTGGGCTCATATCTAGGAATGTAATATAAGGTCAGGAAACCCAAGCAAGGATAATTCTGGAGGCCAGGCCAGCATGGGGAAGGGGGTAAGAGCTTCACCTGCCAATTTCAGCATAGAGATTATGGGTGGAGCAAACCACGCAGCCTTCACAGACTTCTCCTGGGGGTTCTAATTAATTAGACTGACCTGTCTGGGGTCTCCTGGTAGCAACATACCCTGATAGAGGACATGGTGACTCTCTCTGGTGCCTCAATGTTGTACCAAACACATAAGCTATTTCGGTTCTGAGCTACCAGCACGTCACTCCCGGGAACCCACTGCACGTAGGAGCAGAAGTTGAGGATCATTGTCTTAGAGCAGCTTTCAATATCATATAGATGCAACTGGAAGAGGGAGACAGCACAATTAGGAGGGGGCGTGGTGATGTGGTCTGGTTCTGCCCATTTCCCCAGTGATAAAATGACCCACCAGTCAGTTATGTGTTGAGTTGCCAGCCCCTGGAGTTTATGCTAAGTTGGTATATCCTGACTCTGGTCGACTATGAGATGACCAAACAAGCTAAGACCTACATTCAAGCTGTGATTAGGTCTTACAGTAACCTTGGACCAGGTTAACAGGTAAGGCTACCAAACAAAACCAAGTGAGCTGACAACCTGCAGAGATGAACAATCACAAGAAAGGCTAAACTCTTTGGAGATGCCATATTGAGAAGAGAATACGTAAGTGCCAGGAGGGACCACTCAAGCCGCCTCCATGCCTTCAGCTAAGTTTGGCTGAAGCACACCAGTAAGAGGGGCAGAGCGAAGGTCAGCTAGACCTGAGGAGGGGGAGCAGCGTCATGGGGAGGGCACAGACTGGTGAGCAGTGGGATGTTCTCTTAACCACCCTTCTTGACTCTGTTCCCATCATAAGTCAATCTCCTTCAGGGTACCTAGGACAAGTCGCAACAGGGTACAGATTATCCTCTGTCCCTTCTGCTATGCTAACGGCACATGGAACCCAGAACTTACGTCCTGCATCGCCCCCACAGACCCTGCTAACAGCTGTTTCACACCTTTCCCCTAGCAACCCCTCTCACCCGAAGTCTCCGGTCCCTGAAGAGAAGCTTGTGCCCAGTCTCGTTAAGCTCCAACCAATCCACACGGCTCTCGTGACTGATAGTACCAATGTTGTAGCCGCCAATCAGATCCACTGCAAAGAAGACAGAGTCAGAAGGGTGAGCTCAGTATAAGGCAGCAGCTGGTCTGTAGAATGCTGGTCTTGTAACCATGTTGGGCTTCAAGAACATGTTATCAGCCCAGGAGTATCAGTGGGGACTGAGAATGACCCATACTGAACAATTTTTCTAAGATGCTTAAAAAACAGGGTCTTGCCAAGCATGGTGGTGCACAACTTTAATCCCAGCACTCTGGAGGCAGAGGCAGGTGGATCTCTGTGAGTTCGAGGCCAGCTTGGTCTACAGATCGAGTTCCAGGACAGCCTCCAAAACAATACAGAGAAACCCTGTCTCGAAAAACAAAAACAAAAACAAAAAAAAAAGAAAAAAAGAAAAAGAAATGATGACAGCAGGCATGATGACTCCTATCTGTAATCGCAGTCCTCAAGGGCCTGAGACAAGAGGACCAGGGATTCAAAGCTAACCTGGGCCACCTAAGACCCTGTCTTCAAACACTGAAAAACAAAACAAAATAGCAACCAAAACAATCCAGACCAAGAAAGCCAAGTTAGAGCTTCAAGGGACCCCTGGGAACCCTGAAATTATATACAAAATTTGATATATGTGCATTTTTCTGGAAAATGTCTATAATTCTCATTACATTGAAAGGGACTGGTGACTTGGAAAAACTGAAGAGCTCTTGTCACTTTACATATATAGAAAACGAACCCTTTGGATGAATGGCCTTGTCTGAAGTCTCAGCTCATCGTTGACACCAGAATCCTGGTCCTCTTGGCCTACATAGCATCCCACTGCAGATACCTGTATCTCTGAGCTCAGATGTGAAATGTAATATTCATGAAATATGAACCTATCTTAAGAAGAGGCCCATATGTATATGAAAGCTTGATTTATGACAAGGATGGTATAACAAATCAGTGTGCTTTCAGTAAATGGTTAAACAGATGGAAAAAAATAAAGTTAAAACCCTACCCACATCATATACAAAAATAAATTCCAGGTGGAAAGCAAAATTTAAGAATGTTAAAATATAGGGGGGAGCAGGGGAAAGTTCTTAAGTGGGGCCTCAAAAATCAGCAGTTGTTATTACATTGGCAGTGCTGGTGATTGAACGTGGGCCTGCCATGCACTCCACAGTCAAGCTGTACCCCAGACTCATATTTTAATCTAATTTGTTAATTACAGCCTCCTTTATTTGCTTTTACTTTGCAAGAAGCACACGTGGAGGTCATAAGACAGCTTGGAGGAGTCTTCAAGGAGCTGAAGTCAAGTCATCAGGCTCGGTGACAAGTACCTTTCAATGCTGAGTCATCTCACTGGCCCTAAATTAATTTTTTTTTTTTTTTTTTTGGTTTTACGAGACAGGGTTTCTCTGCATTGTTTTGGAGGCTGTTGGTCCAGCCCGGCCTCGAACTCACAGAGAACCGCCTGCCTCTGCCTCCCGGGTGCTGGGATTACAGGTGTGCACCACCACCACCCGGCCACCTAAATTAATTTTTAAGGGTGCTTGCTGCAGGGCTTGCTTGCAGCTCTTAGACCCACGTGGTGGAAGGGAAGACCCCACTTTTTAAACGCCTCAATACTAAAGACACCTAAAAGAGAGAAAGTCAAGCCACATGGACTGGGGAAAAAAACTACATTGTAAGTAACCATCAGGGGCTACATATGCACTTAAGAATTTCACATCTCTAAGAGAGAGGCCACTTGACTTTTACAATGTTCAAGGGGTGAGGACTGGCTGGCAAGTCACAGAAGAGCTCTAAGTGACCAACAAGCAAGCGCAACAGCATTTCACACACACCAGGTATCTCGAGTCTAACTGGGAGAGGAATGGAAACTGACCAGCAGCTTTGGAGAGCAATGGGAAACCATGAAGCTGAAGGCACAGCTCCTCTGTGATCCTCAATGCTACTCTAAGCACAGACCTCAGGGAATAGCATTACTGTGGTTAAAAACAAAACAAAACAAACAGCAACAACAAAAACAAAACAAAACAATGAGGGGTTGGAGAGATGGCTCAGTGCTTCAATCTACCGACTGCCCTTCCAGAGGACCCAGGTTCAATTCCTAGCACCCATATGGCAGCTCACAACCATCTATAAGTCAAGTTCCAGGGATCTCACTGTCCTCTTTTGGCCTCAAAGGGTATAAGGCATGTACATGGTGCACAGCCATACATGTAGACAAAATATCCATACACAGAAAATAAATAAACCTTAAAAAAAAAAAAACACTTGGGGGCTGGAGAGATGGCTCAGTGGTTAAGAGGCTGCTCTTCTAGAGGACGGGGGTTCAATTCCCATTACCCATATGGCAGCTCACACCTATCTCCAGTTCCAGGGGATCTGAGACCTTCACACCAATGCACATAAGATAAAGTTAAATTACATTCGCTGGGCATTGGTGCCACACGCCTTAATCCCAGCACTCGGGAGACAGAAGCAGGCAGATCTCTGTGAGTTCGAGGCCAGCCTGGTCTACAAAGTGAGTTCCAGGACAGCCTCCAAAACAGTACAGAGAAACCCTGTCTCAAAAAACAAACAACAACAACAACAACAACAACAAAAAATTACATTCAGCTGGGCGTTGGTGGCTCACGCCTTTAATCCCAGCACTCGGGAGGCAGAGGTAGGTGGATCCCTGTGAGTTCGAGGCCAGCCTGGTCTACAAAGTGAGTTCCAGGACAGCCTCCAAAACAATACAGAGAAACCCTGCCTCAAAAAAACAAAAACAAAAAAAAATTACATTCAGCAGGGTGTGGTGGCATACACCTTTTGTCCCAGCACTCAGGAGGCAGAGGCAGGTGAATCTCTCTCTGAGTTTAAGGCCAGGCTGGTCTAAGGCAGGAGTTCCAGGATAGTCAGGACCACACAGAGAAACCCTGTCTCAAAAAAATAAAACAAAACAAAAACATTAACGCTCTAAATGCCCATGAGTGAGAGATGAGGCAAAGACCCTGTGTAAATGCAACACGAGGCTATGATTCAGCAGGCCTAGGCACGGGTAAGCAAGTATTAACAGTATGCCATGACTATCAGCGACTGAAATTCATTCAGTGATCATGTGGCAGGCAAGAATCTAAGTGCTGCCATCTGACACAACTGCTACCTCTGGTCCCTCTCTGTGGGCGAAGAATCTAAGAGAGACTAAATAACTTTGGTAGGCTCACACACTAGCGAGTACAGCTGGGGTAGCTGGCCCCAGAGTCCCATTCTTACAGCTATGCTGTATATGTATGTTCATCTCTACTTTCTAGAGGATACTATGCTATTCTCAATTCCTTCTTCCATGCTCGTAACATTTGGTGACAAAAATTACAAAGTTAAGATTTATAAACGAAACACTTGTGAAATGCAAATTACATTTCTATTGTTACTAGTTACTAATAATAAAGGATATAAAAAAATTACAGCCCCTCCAGTTCTAAAGAGTCTATGATTTGATGATATCTAAACAAGAAAATTCTCAAATTTGCTGCTAATTCTTCTCTACTCACAACTTGTTGACCCCAAGACAGATGACGAGAAAACATGGCAATTATATGGACAGGCCTATGTGATATGCCTGAACATTTATGTATCCATAACTAGATACTTATATAAAGGCATACCCACAGGGATGTAAACATCTCCTGTAACCACTGTAAAATGAGGTTACATTTCTACCTGGTGCCTTGCAGACTCCTGGGTTCACCACTGAATGCAATCCCCTGACACAGAAGAGCGATACCGGTGTCTGTTTCGGTATTAAAGTGCTAAGAGCATCTTACCTATAGCAATAGTCTTAATATCAACAAGGTAAGCCAACTTCTTGTTATCTTCCATTCCTCGCTGGCACCTCTCATTGATACGGACGCTGAAATAAGAACAAGGTAAGGTGAAGTGGGCTGAGCCTGGGGTCTTACTATATGGGGTTGACATTTTAGACACATCTGGGGGCACACGGTTTAGACGCTCAAAAGGGATCCTCCTGGATTTCAAGGGTTCAGAGAACCTTGTGAGGCTACCTGATGAGGTGAGGGTTCATGAACTCGGTGCGGACAGAACCCAAGGAGTCATTACTCCCATACTCCACCAGGGTGAGCTCTCCAGCATTGAAGATCATGCACACCTGGGGAAGAATGGAGGAAAAGGGTGGAAGGTGCTGTGTTCAGGGTGACTTCTCTCCGCCTCTCCCTGTCTCACCCCCACCCTTTACCTGCAGACTCCCCATCCCTTGCCACTCGTCCCTCGGACTAGACGCTGGAATGGGGCTTACTGAAATGGTGGCGAGGAAGCGAGTCTACTCACATTCTCATTTTCAAAGAAATATTTCTCATTGCCACCAGACCCCTGCCAGGCTATCTGCAAAGCGAGGAGAAAACATCAGAGACAGTGTAGACAAGTACCCAAGACAAGGCTGGGGAGGCAAACAGACGGCTTTCAGGGAGGCTTTGACACTCCACAAAAGATGTGCTGTGTCAGATTCTTGCCCATACCCACATTTCTGTGAGAGATGGAAGCAAAAAACAGTCCAGCTATAGAAATCCATACTCCAGGGTTCTGCACCTCTCACTGCTTGAAACGAGGTCACCCACATCACATGGTATGGCCTCCTTTGGGGATCTTTCTTCTTGGGGCCCTGTGTCTCCAGCAATAGCAAGCCAAGACATCCACCACCCCCGCTTTCACTCCGGGCTCCTACCTCGCTGAGGCGATTAGTGTTCAAGTCTCCGAGCAGGAGTGTGTCCGATGTGTGAGCCACCAGGTAGCGCTCCTTTCCGAGGATCTTCACCTCCTCCACCTCATAGCCATAGTGGGACTTGAGCACCACCCTGGTCCCGGAAGACAGGTTCTTCACTATCACCTGGAGGGACAAGTCCACCCTTCAGGGTTCCCTCACACAGCTCCAGTGACAGCACAGCTAATGCTGCGTCTCTCCCTTAGCCTAGGGTGCTGTTGATAATGGCAATACCGTACTTCACACGGGGATTTGCTACCTAGGAAATACTTTTACATTCTCACCTTTGCTGTTCATGATTCATTTGATTCTGGAAGTTCTACTGACTAACACTAATCACTCTCTTAGTATAAATCTCTTTACCTATTAAGACAGAATGCTATATTATCATTATATAATTTGTACCTATTATTATTGTTATTATATAATTGTATGCTTAAGATGACCTCCAACTGGCCATCCTCCTGTCTCAGTCTCCTGAGTGCTAATATTTTCTTTCTTTTTCTTCCTCTTCTACTTCTGATTTTTTTTTTGAGACATGTAGACCTGCTTGGCCTGGAAATTGCTATGTAGACTAGGCTGGCCTCGCTATACCCCCCCCTTTTAGGATTTTTCATTATGCGTGTAGGTATATACAAAGGTGAGTACAGAGGCCTGAAGAGGGTGCTGGATTCTCTAGGGCTGAAGTTACAAGCGATCGTGAGCTACTTAACATGGGTGTCCTCTGTAAGAACAGTGAGAGCCGTATCTCTGGCCCTGGTATAATGTTTACAGATAAATTACCTTTGTATTCCCAGTCCTTAACGGTATTAACAATAGTAGAGAAAGGACAAATGTTTCTGGAGAGAATGAAAAGATAAAGGACCAATAATACAAGCAAGGGAAGGACAGCAGCGAGTGAAAAGTGTGTCTCCAAGACTACAGAATCCTGGAGCTTCAAGTCCTCTGTGATTCTGCTCATCACCTCCAGAGGGCAGCACTGGAGAAGACAGTTTACACCACAAAGATCAAGGTGCCAATCCCAGTGCCAGAGCCTTTCTTACAATGGGCAGGAGAGCTGCCAGGAAGTTTCTCTGCCACACTCTGTTCCCTCTGTGAGAGGGTGATGGTTAAACTTGACACTGGGTGTGGCCAGCGGGGGGGGAATGTCACAAGGGCAATGAGCCACCAGAGATCTCAGCATGACAGGCCATCAGCTGCTCACCTGGCTGGGTCCCACATACGTCAGCTCGAACTTGTTCTTGTAAATACTCCTTCGGAGGCAACAGTCAAACTGTTCCACCCCACCACAGAGTGTGCCCTAAGGGAGAGAGGGACAGCATGGAAGGCCATGCACGGAACACCGGCACCCTCTAGACCTCAGGCCTCGGAGTCACAGTCGGGATGAGAGGCAGTCAAAGGGTGGGCAGGTTTTGGATATATCAGAAGAAAAAAAGTGCAGATCCTAAGACCTGCAGGTATGGCGCGTGTAAGCTTCTTGCCTTTAACAGCAGATTTTAGGTTGAAGTCACAAGCAGCTGGGGCTGCCACAGTAGAGTACGTGCCTTGGCACGGGGAGTATTCTAATCTAGTCTGCAGACAGTCGCCAGCTCACAACGAGGCCACCGATAACATACCGCACAGAGCCGGGAGCCGTCCCGCTTCCAGGCCAAGGCAGTGACGGTGTATAGGTTGGCAATCTCCTTGGGCTTGGCCTCTTCCCAGATGCTTCTTCGAGGACTCCAGTTGAACACCCGGAGTCTAGAAAGGTGAAGATGGGCAAAGTAGCGAAAGGCAACCGCTTCCCTGTCAGACAGGGCAAACGCAAGAGAACAGGGCAGCGAGGCGGCCAGCAGAGGAGGGAAAGGCATGAAGGGAGCCGAGGACGCCAAGTAGGAAGGGGACAGGGAGAGAAGATGGAGCAGGTGTGGCGCACACCTGGAATGCCAGCACCTGGGAGGCAGAGGCAGGAGGATCACTGCAAGTTTGAGGCCAGCCTGGCCATCTGGTGAGTTCCCGGCTCCCCAGGGCTACAGAACGAGACCCCGTCACAATAATCAAAAACAACAGCAAGGATGCAGGACCAGTGAGACAGATGGACGGCCGGGAGTGTAAGGGGAGAGGAAGTACAGGGGCTCAGGAAGGCAGGAGACACACAGACGGAAGGACACACAGACGGACCGACACAGAAGACGGGGCCTGGAGCCTCACTGCCGTTTCATTCTTTATTCATCCACCAAACAGTGCTTAACGTTCCATGCCAGACGCCAATGCACGCACTGGAGATAAAAAGATGGCTACTCAGCCTTCTTCCCTAGAGCCCCTCAAAACAGGAGCAACAGCTACGGTACAGTGGGAGAAGCTCAAGTCTGAAAGAGGCGACGGGAACACGGGGAACGTGATGAACGCCAGGCTGGGGCAGCCAGTGCAGTTTGAAGCCGCTGGCACGCCAATGATGACAATCTGAGAACCCCTTTCAACAGACATTGCTCTGTCCAGGTTCCCGCTGCAGTTCAGAACGACTTGGCTAGCGCAGAGAGCTCACAGAGAAAGAAGGAAGAAGATGGAACTGGACAGGGGACCTACCTGTCATAACTTCCCAGCACGACAGACTGGCCTCCAGGACTTGCTGCAGCTGTGGTGAATTCCCGCTCCTGAGGGTCACGGCTATAGTCGAAAGTCTGTAGCACATGGCCTTCCTTTCCATAGGCCACAATCCTCCGATCACAGCCTGCAGCCACAATGCTGTTGGTTGCCCAGGCCAAGGCATAGGGTGGGCATGGATGGTTAACCAACTTCCCCTGAGAAGAATGTTTCAATTGTACTTTGTGGATGCCACCCTAGAAACTCCTCAACCTAGCAGTTGGTCCACACATTCTTGACCATTCCACCCTGCAGAAAAAAAACTTCCTGCCGATATTTCCCCATGCCAACACACCCTAATTCTGAAGACTTCACAAACTATCCCCCGTGTCATGGGCACACACATGCCATAGGTACACACTTGTTGACCTTGTGCTCAAAGTGGTGTGTTGGAGATCTCTGGTGTATACTAGTAATGTCACCCAAAGGGAGACAACACATAGTAACCAGCACTGTCTAGGCCCCTGAGCACATGGCTTCAAGGAGGGCTAAGTTTAATTATACAGGCAACTACACAGGTAACTCCCAGTGTAAATGATTCAAACAGTACCAAGTTACACAGAGTACAATATCAGGGTTTCCCTTTATGTCTATCTTTTCTTTTTCCAAGACAATAGTTACCTCTTTGATATTTTACTTATTTGTGTGTGTGTGCATTTGCATGTGTGCATGCCTTTGTGTGTGTGTGTGCATTTGCATGTGTGCATGCCTTTGTGTGTGTGTGCATTTGCATGTGTGCATGCCTTTGTGTGTGTGTGCATTTGCATGTGTGCATGCCTTTGTGTGTGTGTGCATTTGTGTGTGGGCATTCCTTTGTGTGTATGTGCACATTTGCCTGTGGGCATGCCTTTGTGTGTGTGCATTTGCGTGTGGGCATGCCTTTGTGTGTGTGCCCACAAGAGTGAAGAGCAGAGGACAACTTGCAGAAGTCACTTCTGCCCTTGCACTACACAGGTTCAGTCAGGTTCGACATCGTCACCTTTACCTGATCTTAGTGGCCTGTTAACTTTCTTTCCCCCTATGCATTTGGATGCGTATGTATTACATAAACATGTATATATACACACATTTGTGTATATGTATATATTTACATAAATGGAAATACGTTTCACTTTTTGTCCCCCTTAGAGTCTTTATTTTCCCCTCTCTCAAGGTCCCTTCCACCCACCCCTCCCTATAAATAGTGAGCTCTAGCCTCCTGAACACAAATCTCTGTGACGGCACCCAAATGCTTCTCTTCCGGCCTCCTCCCCCAATTCCTCAGCCATGGTGCTGAGACCTGCAGCTTCCCCCAGCGAGGGCTCCTAGAATGCCTACCCACCCCAGAGGATGCCTTGTTCATACCTGTGACTCTCCAGAGCCTTCGTCATCAAAGAAATACCTGACGATGGTGCCATCTGCGTGACCGGAGAGGATCCCTTTCCCAGAGCAGCTGAGGAAAGGAAGACACAGAGGGAGAGACGTCCCCCCCGCACCCCAGAAAGCCCCTTCCGTCACATGTGGGTTTTCCTGACACCTCCGGGTCTTATTTTGTCACTCACTTGGTAGTCAGTGCCACCACGTAAGAGTCTGTCCCATAGATGGTAGATGACTTGTTAGTTTTAGTGTTTGCTAAGCGAACCTGAAGATCAGAGAACATGCACAAGTCTGGCCAAGCTACTTCCAATTTCACCCAGGCACCAAGAAACAAAGACAAAAACCCAGCACAATGAAATTGGGCCTCAAGCATTCATCTGAAGTACACACTTGAGCTTCAGGGGAAAAGATAAACCATAACCCCGCCCCTGGGACCATTATCCCCACGCTCTCCCTTACCTTGCCTTCAGCCAGTCCAAAGACAATAATGTACTCTGCAGGCCACTGCAGACAAGTGACAGCACTCTGTATGAAAAAGGGCGAGAGATAACCCCACCTGTGTGGATTCACAATTGTAACAACCCGACACCCCCCACACCATCACCCTAGTCTTCCATGGGGAAGGAGGGGACACGACAAGCCTCTTTAGTAGGTGACAATGAGCAGCCAGTCAATACCCTCCCTTAGCAGGTCAAGTCAGGGTTAGACACTGGAAAATGCCACTCCTGGTTACATTTACAAGCAGCAGATAAGCAGGTGTCTGCTCATCTTGGAACTTTACCGTCTGGATGAACTTGTTGCAGATGACCTTCTTGTCACCCCTGTCAAACAGAAGGCAAGGAAACCTACTTAAAAATTGTTCCCAAAGACCACCTGCCCAACATGATGGTGAAAGGAGGCAACACTGGAAACCGCCCCTCCGTCCCTGGCCGACTAAAGTTTCCTGACCCTCTGCGGGAGGTCTGATGGACGTGGGCGGGGCACCCTAGAAGCCCTGGAGCTACATCAAAGAGACAGCAAGTTGGGACCTTCTGCCGGCCTTACACCCATACACCCATCCCTCCAGTCACATGGGGTAGGCAGAGGGTGGACACAACAGAACCAGGCTCTGGAGAGTCCCTGCCTCCACACATGACCCCATACCTACCCCAGGGAGGCCACAACCCCCACCCCACCTCCCTACCCCCCATCTCTATCCTCACCAATCTTCTCCAATCTTGTAGACATAGATGATGTTGTCAGTCTGTCCTATGGCAATTTTAGTGGAATCAGGAGAGAAAGCCATGCCCTTTACCATGTAGCTCTTCCTGCCATACTAGGAGTAAAACCAGAAGTAATGAGTATAAATGAAAGGGAAAAGAAAACACACACATGTCCCAAAAGGCCCAGAAAATTTATACTGAGAAAAGGGCAGACCATTTCCCATGCCTACGGCTAGAAGGCCGATTCCAAAGTTTTCTAGGATAACATGTTGGAGCACACACGAGTCCTCTCCACCTTCATGTCGGCTGGCTTGGTGGAGAACTTGTCTCTCCGCTCTCCATGCTCATCATACAGCAATACCACTCGGTCCACTGTGCAGACAGCAAATTTAGCATTGTTCTGGGACCAGGCCATACACGTCACCTTCGCAGCTCCATCCTGCAGAGGCAGAGGGGTAGTGTAAACACACCATTTCCAGACTCTTCAGTCTCAGCGTGGCGTTGCGTTACAGGGTTTCTCTCAAACGTAGACAAGATAAGACAAATTGCTTGGATACCTGAATGGTAAGGACAATTGTCTCCAGGGCCTCCCATGGCCCAGACTGGCCTCAGATTCATTCTACTGCAAGGGTGCCTTGAGCTTCTGATCCTCCTGTCTCTACCTCCTGAGTGCTAGGATTCAAGGCACGCACCAACATGTCTAGTGTATACCGTGCTGGGGACAGGACCCAGGGCTTCAGTCAAGGCAGGCAAACACTGTGCCTACCAAGCCATCTCCTCAGTCCCTAACGTGCTTTCTGAGACTCAAGATATAAATGTAAAGCATCAACTGTCCCAAAAGCAACGGCCTCCTTGTCCCTCATCTTTCAGGTCTCCTACTGAAAAAAAATCAATTAATCTGATAAATGTTAGTCTTTATAGCTACTCATTCAATTAATGTTTTCAAGCACTTTACCGACAAAGGCTCTTGGCCAGGAGCTGACAGAGAGACAAAGAGCAAAGCACAGATCCTGCCTCAGGACCTAATTGGATGCTACAGAATTGGAAATGCCCCATAAGAATAATATGCACTGAGTGCAGTGATAATTTAAGAGAAGCCCAAAACAATTTTATGCTTAAGTGGTCAAAATTAAACTTTGAAGGATGGATGCCATTGAATGGTAAATTACTTCAGATGTAATGAGCAGCGTGACCAAAAACCAGCATTTAAGGAAGCCGAGACCTTGTAAACCAGAGAGGGGTAGGGCAGGAGGCGTAGACCGGGCTAGCCAGGAAGGGCCTTTAGAGGCAGCAGGTGTAGACTGGGCTAGCCAGGAAGGGCCTTTAAGGCAGGCTGATGATTTGGATTTATTGGGCAGGAATAGGAGAAACAGTGGGAGTCTGGCAACAGGAGTAACACAATCAGAACCAAGACTTGGGGTAGACGGTGTCACCTTCCCCTGCTCACTGCACTTTATGAAGAGTGACAACTGTGAACGCTCAGATATGGAGTGCTTGTCTTGCGTTCCTGAGTCCCCAGGTTTGATCTGTGGTACCTCAAAAGAGGATGTAAACAAATAAAAAGGATGTGGGAGTGACAGGTACCAAGGCTCACGCCTGGAGGGGAGGACAGAGGGTCAGATGTTCAAAACCCTCCTCTGCCATGCAACAAGTTTGAAGCCAGCCTGTCTTAAGAAAAAAGTGACCACGCTGCAGTGAACCATTCCTACTGTTTGTCCCTCCCTGCACCAGGCTCTACCCCTAAGGCTCTACCCCTAAACATTTGTGTTCTTGAGATCAAATTTAGCTCCTGCTCCAAATGTTCGATTAACCAATGGGGCTTACAACACTTTTACGTTCTATGCCTAGCCCAAACACTTCCAGAACCAGAAGGGAGAGGGGTCACTGCACCAAAATCCTCAAACCACAGCCAGAAAACAGCCACACCAGCACCATTCACTACAGTAGGCAAGAAGGGGGTGCAGGCGCCCCGGTCACTTTGGCTGAGTCCGTGCTGGGCATCTGGCCCAGCTGCACCATGACATCATCTTTTTGTTAAGGGACCAAAGGGCTCTATTTCCAATTTTTCCATTAGGGGATTCTGAAATCACAATTTACTGAGCAAGGAGTAACTTTTTATTGTTCTACCTCTGAGCCAGGGCTCCATCCCCTACAACTCTCCTTCTTCTAACTGACTTCTACTTCAGCATACCCCAACAACATTCCAGAGGTCCACAGCCAGCGGATTCTCCTCTTTGCAGTAAGTGCCCAACTGGCCTGTCTTGAGGACTAAGGGAAACATGTGGTAGGACAGGTATTTTCATAAGTGCGTGACATCCAGTAAACACCTTACCTCACATCTCTGAGACAGAAGTTATTATTATTCCCATTTTACAGATGGGGAAACCAAGGCTCTGAAAATTAAGAAAGCTGCTCAGATTTACATAGACTGCTTTTAGATGACAGATGCAATATTTGAATCTGTGTATATTTGATTCCTTAAGCTGTAAATCTAATGTCTTTAATTATGCTATCATGGTATATGTATTAATGACTTAATTCTGCCATATACTTTTATTTATTATTGTCACTATTATTATTTTTGAGGTAGGGTCTCTCTATGTAGTTCTCAAACTCACTTTGTAGACCAGACTGGGATTGAATTTACAGATATCTGCCTGTCTCAAGGCATGAGGCACCAAGCCTATTCTTTTATTTTTACTTATTTTTTTAAATGACTTATTTATTTATTTATTATGTATATAGTGCTCTGTCTCCATGTATGCCTGCACCAGATCTCATTACAGATGGTTGTGAGCCACCATGTGGTTGCTGGGAATTGAACTCAGGACCTCTGGAAGAACAGGCAGTGCTCTTAACCTCTGAGCCATCTCTCCAGCCCTCTTTTTTTTTAATTCTTTGTATTAATTAAATTTATTCATTTATTTTACATCCCCGAACTTTCCCCTGCCCACCCCCCATCCACTCCTCCTCTGTTTTTGCTCAGAAAGGGGCGGGCCTCCCATGGGCACCAACAAAGCCTGGCGCCTCAAGTTGAGGTAGGACTACACCTGACTTCTCCAGGAGACTCTAAGAGCCAAAAACAGTCTTCTTACTTTTTAAATGGGGGTCTTGCTTTGTGGTCAGGCTGGCTTTGAGCACACAGCAAGCCTCCTGCCTCAGCCTCCCAAGCTCTAAGATTACAGACATACAACACCAGGATCGGGTTGGGGATTATTATTATTATTATTATTATTATTATTATTATTGTTATTATTGTAGTTCTGGGGACGAAGGCAGGGGCTCACACATGTCAAGCATATGCTGTACCAGTAAGCAACATCCACTGCAAATCGCTTACTCTTTTTGAGTGTAGGTCTGTGATGTTGGGGTTGTATGTGCATGTTTGTGTGTATACATATACATCAGAGGTCAACAGTGTCTTCCTTTATTGCTCTCCACCTTATTATTTATTTATTTAGGGTTTTCGAGACAGGGTTTCTCTGTGGCTTTGGAGCCTCTCCTGGCACTCGCTCTGTAGACCAGGCTGGTCTCAAACTCACGGAGATCCACCTGCCTCTTCCTCCCAAGCGTTGGGATTAAAGGTGTGCGCCACCGCTGCCCAGCTCCACCTTATTTTTTATTTTTATTTATTTATTTAAGCTCATAAATTTGGTTAAGCTGGCTGGCCAATGAGCTCTAGGGACCCAGCAGTCTCTGCCTCCCCAGCACTGAGATTACAGGTGTGCCTGGTGTTTAAGTGGATGCTGGAGACCTGAACTCAGTTTCTGGAACTTACAGAGAGCCATTGCCCCACAGCCAACCTTCTTATTTGTGCTGTCAGCCCGTCTTTCCAACTCCATGCTTTTCCACACAGTTCTTCAGTTTTTAATGCTTTTTAAATAATTTTCCTTACACCTTCACGACACAAAGCAGCAGTATAACGTCCAGAAAGAGTTCCGGCGAAGGCCCAGTGTTGCCAGAGTAGCAGAGACCAGGGGCCTCGGACCAAACCAATGATTCTTTGAGATGAGTGTGTGCATGTAAAGATGTATGGATAATGAGGTTTACCGCAAGACTGTGTTCGCCTACAGCTTCCATGATGACACTTTCCCTTTCTTCCTTTGTTTCTTCTCCTTTTCTCTTTTTATCTTAAAATTTGTTTTATGGGGGGGGGAGTTTGCAAGGGCAGAGGGCAGATTAGAGGGGACAGGAGATGGGCAGGATCAGGATGTACAGTATGAAGACACAAAGAATCAATAAAGAAAATTTAAAAAAAATGTTTTTCCTGCCAGGCAGTGGTGGTGCACAGCTTTAATCCCAGCACTCGGGACACAAAGGCAGGTGGATCTCTGTGAGTTCAAGGCCAGCCTGGTCTACAGAGCTAGTTCCAGGACAGCCTCCAAAGCCACAGAGAAACCCTGTCTCAAAAAACAAAAAAGTTTTTCCTTAAATTTATTTACTGTGTGTGATAAGGTGGTGCATGTGTGTCGGTCAGAGGGCAGCTTTCATGACTTGGTGCTTTCCTTCCTCTGTGTGGGTCTCAGGGCTCAAGCTCAGGTAGTCAGGCTGAGTGGTAAGTGCCTGTAACTACCTAGCCATCTCAATGCCTGCCCCCCTTTTTATCCCCCAAGATAGAGTCTCATGCAGCCCAGGCTGGCCTTGAACTCTCTAAGTAACCAATAATGGCCTTGTACTCCTGTCTCCACTTCTCAATTGCGGGGATTATTGGTCTTAGGTCCACCAAGCCCAGCTTATTTTGTGTGTGTGTCTGTGTATAGGACTTCACTTAACTCTCTCCTAAGTCTCTCAGAGTTGCTGTCCCTGTGGCTTTGCTTTCCCAAATGAAGAAGCTAGTGACAGAAAGACTGCGTATGATGAGGTTAAAGCCAGAGATGCCATAAGAGCAGACCAGTGCCATACCTGAACTCTGTTCCCTTCCCTCCCAAACCTATTCTTCCTCCTTCCCCAGCGCCCAGCCTCTTCTGAATCCGAGACACACTTTCACAACCCAAACGAAGGCTCGGCCTTGCGCTTATTTCATCCTGTGTAGATTTATGGTCCATGTCTATACATGCGCCTCTCCCTCACAGCCTGTGACCTAACTCCATCCTCTAGAGCCTCAGCTTGGGGCCTGGCACGCAACTGATTTATGCGATGCAGCCAACGAAAGCGATGCATGTCGCCTACTAAAAGATCTTTCACAGTCTTCTGCACACAGCAGGCGCCCAACATAAACTTCTGTTCCCACACTTTCTTTTTTTGGAACGCCCGGTGGCCCGGGAATGGGAGAGGCACGCGATTCCTCACCTGAGGGCTCAGCAGGGTCCTCAGGTGCTTCAACTGCATGACGCGCACGAGTCTCAGATGCTCGCTGACCGAGACAACTCCCGCGGTTACCTGGACAACCCGCCAAGCCGCGGCGTCGCCAGCCGCTGACGCACAGGAGACGTGAGTGCGACACACGTCATGAGGTCACGTAGTGGGTTCACGACGATGCAAGCAGGATATGCGCAAGCGCAGTGAGTCCTAGGGCGGGCCCACAAGAGGGCTCGGCGAAGTCTCTCCTCGACCAATCCCGTTGCTGCATGCAAACCCAACGCAAAGCCCCACCCACAAGTCTTCGTCTGTCCCCACCCTCCCCAGCCCCGCCCCGCCCCTCGACCGTACTTACCTTTAACCCTAGTTTTTCTCACTGTTGTGTTCAGTCAAGCGCACTTTAGTTGCTTAAACTTTGGAGAAGAGCAAGGCAGGTGCTACGATAGGCGAAAGTCAATTTCCTGAACTGCAACCTCCATCTCCCCCCACCCCTCAAGAGTTGCACGAGACCATTCCAAACTCATAGGTAACAGTGAACGCTCAATGATATACCTGCTTGAAGTGGACAGAGGTACAGTCCCGTTTTACACAACAGGAAGGATCACTCGCCGAAGTTAAAACAGCTAGTAAACTGTGGAACCGGGATTCAACACAGAGCTGATACCCTTTTAATTCCCGTAAGACGATTGAAGTCTTAACTCATTGTCTCCATGTCGAACTTCTCTACCCTGGAACACAGGCTCAGGAAATGATCCGGGGTTTGAGGGATGTGTTGGAAGCACCGGCTAGGGAAAAGCAAGGGCACCCTGTTTGGCCTTTAGGTAAACGGTGAGTTCAAGCTTCTCTTATAGGTCAGGGCAGCTGACAGACAGAGCTTGGCCGCCCTGCTAGCTTGGAGCTATGTGACACTTGAGGTTGGGGATTGACTCAGAAAAGATACCGTTGTCTTTATTTTGTTTGATTGGGATCCTTTCAAAAAATTTTGTTCTAATTTCTTGCAACATATCAGAGAGATTGCATGAAATGCAGAAAAGGAGATCTCCGTAGGCCTTTTCTCTCTAAACGGTCCCAGGTTGGCAGGACCTATACCCCCCTAGAAGCATAACATGCTCTCCAGACAGAAGCTGGGTCCCCAAGCTTTGCATGCACAGCGGTTGCCAATGGCAACAAATGTTTCTCTCCCCACCGCTACCTCCCTCTTGAAAAATTAAGAACGAGCAGAGGGCAGTTCCCATTTTCTCACAGGTAACAACAAACAGGTCCCCAGAACCCAAATTATAATTTTGTCTATAGGGGCATCCAAAGCCCTTTGTTTTATTTCTAGAAGCCTCTGGATATGTTACAGAGTATAAATATAAACCCCGTTATGGATTACAGTGACTGCTAACGATGAGTGAACAGAGACAGATGACAGAGAAAACAGACAAGAGGCACTGGTGTGCGGAGGGTGAGGATACACAGCTGCTCTTTTGTTGGTTCCCAGGGCACTACTCGGTCCTGCTGACCATTTCCCCAGAGTGAATGGTGGGGTCAAAAGAATGGGGAGGGGGTTAGTTATATAACTCAGTGGCAGAGCGTTTGCCTAGTATACACGAGGTCCCTGACAAAGATCTTAAAACAATCCGCTGGCCCTTTTATGTGACATGGCCTGGTTTCCATTGGTGCAAAAACTTCTGTACCTTCTCCCCCCGCCCCCATTCAACAAAGCCAAAGAAAGGAGGCTTCTGGCTTTCTGTACCCTTTCCTTCCTGTCTTTTCCCCACCTCTCTTAGATGAAAACGCCAACACAAATATCTTATAGAGTCTGTTCCTTTAAGTTGGTGGTGGCATGAGGGCCCTTGGAGAGCTGACAAGGTGTAGAGATGTCTTCAGCATACCATACAGTCAGTTCCGGTTTGTCCAAGAACCTTTATTGGAAAAAATGTCCCAGGGGTGAGATCGCCAGCAGCTGAAGGGGCTGCCAGGTGAGGGGGAGCACCTGGGGCTCCGTGGAAGACATTGGAATAGTGCAGTGTGGCATCTGCCTCTAGGCCCAGATGGCTCCTCTTACACCCCAGGAGGGCAATACAGACAGAAACATCCCTCTCTGAAGCCCAGAGGCAAGCTGTAGGGGCAGCTAGTGGATGCCAAGAGTCCTGATGCACGTGAGATGGGGCCCCTATTTGGGACCCAGTGGGATAGGATTGAATAAATGAGTCTCCCCTGGACCTGGGGGATAGGAGGTGTTCCATTTGATATCCACTCCCAGGTCCAGGGGTGCAGATTCTAACAGACCTACCTTCTGGCCCTGCTCACAGTGGAAAGAGGATGGCTACCAGCCTGGGATTCTGGGAGTGCATCGCCTTGTGGGAGCCTCAAGCAGATCATCCGCTTAGGCTTTCCCTGACCCCACCCGCCCCCACATCATTAGAGCATCTCTCTTCTGGTTCTGGTTCTTCATTCACTCAGTTCACTCAGACATCGATGGTGTTGATGGATGGAGACTTTTTCTGTGAAAGAAAGTTACCCAAATCTGGAATTCCAGAAAGGTAAAGGTGTCGCCCCTGTCTCCTGGACTCCTTCACCCCAGACATTCCATTCCCAGCCCCCCCTTTTCTGCCTGTCTGCTGCCTCTCACAGAATACTCCCTGACACCCAGATCACCCTTCTCGAACTCACTGGTCCCCACATCACCTGTCTTGTCCCCACTGGCCTTCCCTGAGGACTCTGTTCAGGACCCTTCCCCTTCTCCTTGGGGTTGTTGTTGGAGTCATTGTCCTTGATGATGTCATACTGGCGGCAGAATAGCCCAATTACAGCTGAAACACAACAGCACCATGTGAGCCTTGATCTTGACCGAGATCTCCGTTCACAGCCTTGAAGAGCGCTGAGACACTCACACGGCTTCCGGAAAATCCTTGAATGCCTGGTGCCTTTGCAACCTCATCCCTGGCTTTGCAGAAGCCTCCTCTCTTCCCCTCAAACTTGTCCTCCCTCCACCAGCCCCCACCTCACGCTTTCTCCCCACCTCTTCTCCTGACAGACAGCCTTCACTTCCCACCGCCACAGACCCAAGTCCCTGTTCCCCAACCAGTACGTACCAGCCCACATGAGCAACACCACCACAATGATGACCACTTCCCCTGTCTGCAACGGCCGCTCTCCATCCAGACCCTCCACTGTAATGTCACCTAAGAAAGGAGCCATTCCCTGGGTTACCAAGGACCCACCGGAGGATGCTGTTACACGCAGAAGGGCGATGTTGGGGGGTCAGAGTCATTGGGACCATCATTGCACTGAACCTGGAGTTGTGGGGTAACCCTTGCAGGAAGAGGCCTTTGGTGGGCAGTGTTTAGCGATCCAAGGGTGATCATAGAACTTGCTCAAGCAGGCTGTGATGTGATGTGAGTTTGTGTGAAAGGAAGCTGGAAAGCCCTTCCCCCAACGGATTCATTAACGGCATCTCTATAGCTGGTTCCCTGCCCACCTGTTTTTCTTTCCTTCCCTGGCAGTAGAACCAATTAAATCACCCTCCTATTCATCTGAGCTAGACTGTTAGTAGCCTTAAGTAAACGAGAGGTTAAAGGCCAGGTAAAAAGCCCAAGGATCTACTAACACAGGTTCTCACCTGGGCTGGAGCTGTTGGAGGGCAACCTGTCAGACCCCTTGAGAGTACGGAAGTGCACACGGGGCCCAGGGGGACTCTCTCCCCGGAGACCGATGCTCCTGACCTGCACCGTGTAGTCACTGTCTTCAGCCAGGCCCCAGAGAGCGCAGGCCCTGGTGGTGGTGTTCACCTCTCTGATGACACGCTGCCCAGGGCCATTCTGTCGCTGCAAGGAGACACGGAGAAAGGAGAGCAACCTAGCCCCAGACCCTGACCACCAGGCTCAACGCAGGACTCTGTGAAAGGAGTAGTGTGACTGGAGGGGTGTTCAGAGATCCAAGGGCACAGGTTGGGGAAACGGGGTGATTCATACTTGCTGGGAAATGGAGTAGCCAATGACGATGTTGCCTTCTGGGACGTCCCAGGACACAGTGGCCGAGTTGGCTCTGAGGTGAGTGACCGTCACATTCACAGGAGAGGGAGGTCGGTCTGGGGGTGCCAGGGTGTCGACAGGTTAAGAGGTTTCACCTCCACACTATCTCTGACGGAACCCCACTGCGGGTATCCTCTTCACTCACCTGCTCGCACAAAGCCCAGGTCACAGCTGACCAGCAGGAGGACCGTGGGACTCAGATATGGGGAAAGAGGCATCAAAGAAGCCATGGTTTCCACCGAGTTCGCCGGGGGGCCCGGAGGCATCCGCTTGACATCCAGGCGGGGATCCTGGAGGAGGCAGGAGTTGAGGGGTTCAGGAGCTGCCCAGAACGCAGCTCTCCCAGGATTCCCACGGCCCACAGCCCATTTTCCCCCGCACCTTTCCCGCCTCCGCATAACCCCGGTGCCCACCCCAGCCCCCACCCGCGCAGTCGGATCAGCCCACACCCACCTCCCGGGTCCTCGTGGTCGCTCAGGCCTCGGGGGGCTGTTCGGTGCCCAGGGGGCGGCCCATCGCCGGACTGGCGCTGGCCCTACCCCATCCCGACGCGGGCCCGCCCGGGCGGGCAGCGCCGGCCGAGCTGCGGGCAGAGAGGGCAGAGGCGGAGTGGCCGCGGGCCGCGGGTCTGCGGGGCCCCCAGTGTTCCCAAGGGCCGCGCGCAGTCTGTCTCGGAGCAGGGGGCGTTGCCGGCGAGGTCTGGCAGCTGGCCTGCGTCCCCGGTGCAGAGGACAGTGCGGCGGCCGAAGCTGGCCCCCTGCGGCGGGATGTGACCGTCCCGGCCAGCCAGCCGCCGCCTTCTGCAGAGCTGGCCCCGCGCGCTCCGCTGCAGCCCGGCTGGGACGCGCGGGCCCGCCCCGCCCCGCTGGGGTTCTCGCCGCCGTCATCCTCCCTCTCCATCACCCCCCCCCGTTCTCTCGGGGCTCCTCCCACGACCCTCCCAATGGCGGCCTGCTGGGCCCCTATCCCTTCATCCTCCCGGCTCTAGTAGGTGAACTGACTGGGGCACCCGGACAGGCGCAGGTGCGAGGGTCTCAGGCACCTGAGAGAGGCCCTCCTTCCCTCCTTCCCGGCATGAAATTAGCCAAGTTGGGAGGAGGCATTCCGTCTCCGATGCAGGAGGGGGCTAAGAGGAGAGGAGGCCGAGTGGTGGAGATGATAATTGTTTTTAACAATCTCTCGGAGACTGCATCAGCCTTTAAGTCTCTATCCCATTCATGATCTGATTTGATTCCATTCGCTTTCTCATTCATTCTTTCATTTATTCAGCAACTATTTACTGATCATCTTCTATGTGCCTGGTATTATAAGAGCTGGAGACTTAAAAGAATGCTGGGCATATAGGAACAATTAAAACGCAGACCTCTCTCTCTCTCCCCTCTCTCTCTCTCTCTCTCTCTCTCTCTCTCTCTCTCTCTCTCTCTCGTGTGTGTGTGTGTGTGTGTGTGTAACTCATTCCTTTAAGAGAAATCCATTAACCTGCGCCTCAGGTTTCCCACCTGTAAAACAAAGAATAGAAACCTCGGACAGTTGTTAGACTATCAGATGTGACGACACAGGACAAGGATCTTTAAAAGCCTTCCACTACTGTATCAAAGAGTGTTATTAATTTGTACCAACTTGTTAGTTGTTGTAAAATTCATTTGGAAACATAGAAGTCCTTAAAGCATTCTGTATTTTAGCTGAGTATGAAATCTGTGTGATACTAGACAATGGACCACTGCTCTGAACCTGTTTCCTCATCTAAACACAAGGCTGTCAACAATGTCTTCCAAGTGGCCGTGTATCTGGTGATGCCTACCGTTTGGGGAGGCGTGCATTGGCTGGGAGAAAGACGCTGGCTGTATTTAGGGCAGGTTCTTCGGCCCTCATTCTTCTTGCAGTCTTTCTATTTCTGTGGATTGTCCTCTGTGATATCCAGTTCAGTGTATGTACACCTGGGGCTGCTTTTCTTTCTGAGAGGAGAGGATAAAATGGGCCAGTGCGGCAGGAAGGACTGCATGTTGACATGTGATCGAGTCATGGCCCCGCCCTCTGACTCCTGCTGACCCTGACCTCTGACCCTCACAGGCTTTTGGGCCCCAGAGCTCTCTTGCTCAGGGATTCTTTCTGACCGGGTGGTGTTCTGCATATCCAGGCCCCCAGCCTTCCAGAGTGCACTGTGCCTGAAGGGGGAGAGCAATGACCTCCTGGTCCTCTTCTGTGAAGCAAGCAGAGGCTGACAAGACAGAGGATATGCAGGAGGATCCCCAGGGTCCCCCATAGCTGGCTGGGAAGTTAGTGACAGGAAAGGGTACTGAGGGGTGCGGGGGCGGTGCTCAGGATTCTTAGGTTAATCATCTCCATGGCTCAGATAAGACCCTGCCAACTGGAAGCAAAGTCATTGTTACCAGAGAGGTTTTGTGACTGCAGAGGAGGCAGGACGGAGTGTCCACAGTGTGGGACCATGCCAGGCACAAAACGCTATCAGCATGTGATCGAGACCCCTGAGCCTGGCGAGTGGGAGGTGAGGTCCTTTTGCAGTTTTAGCCCTCTGCACTGGTTCCTAGAATAGTTTTAAATTTGAACTGGCCTCAACCCTGGACTTCTGTTCCCTCCCTCCTCCTCCTCCTCCTCTTCCTCCTCCTCTTCCTCCTCCTCTTCCTTCTCCTCCTCCTCCTCCTCTCTTTTTTGACTTTTGAGACAGGGTCTAGCCCAGGCTGGCCTCAAACTTGCTACATATCTGAGGATAGCCTTGAACTCTTCATCCCCCTGCTGTCACTTTCCAAATGCTGGGACAGAAGGCACACATCCTGTGATAGGCACCCTTTTCCTTATCGTTCCTTGTGATCTTCCTTCTCTAATAGCTCAGAACATCACATGAAGACTAAGATCTTGGTGTATGTGTGTGTGTGTGTGTGGTGTGTGTGAGTGGTGTGTGTGTGTGTGAATGATGTGTGTGTGAATGATGTGTGTGTGAGTGGTGTGTGTGTAGTGTGTGTGTAGTGTGTGTGCAGTGTGTGTAGTATGTGTGTGAGTGTGTGTGTAGTGTGTGTAGTATGTGTGAGTGGTGTATGTGTGTGTAGTGTGTGGTCTGTGTGTGTGTGTGGTGTGGTGTGTGGTCTGTGTGTGTGTGTGGTGTGGTGTGTGTGTGTAGTGTGTGTGTGTGAATGGTGTGTATGTGTGGTGTGTGTGGTGTGGTGTGTGTGTGTGAATGGTGTGTGTGGATGGTGTGTGTGTGGTGTGTGTAGTGTGTGTGTAATGTGTGTGTAGTGTGTGTGTGAATGGTATGTATGTGTGTGGTGTGTGTAGTGTGTGCGTGTGTGAACCGTGTGTGTGTGTGTGGTGTGTGTAGTGTGTGCGTGTGTGAACCGTGTGTGTGTGGTGTGTATATGTAGTGTGTGCATGTGTGAATGGGGTGTGTGTGTGGTGTGTGTATGTAGTGTGTGCATGTGTGAATGGGGTGTGTATGTAGTGTGTGTGTAGTGTGTATGTGTAGTGTGTGTGTGTAGTGTGTGTGAATGGTGTGTATGTGCGTGTAGTGTGTGTGTGTAGTGTGTGCATGTATGAATGGTGTGTGAATGGTGTGTGTGTAGTGTGTGTGTGTGTGAACCGTGTGTGTGTGGTGTGTATATGTAGTGTGTGTGTGTAGTGTGTGCGTGTGTGAATGGTGTGTGTGGTGTGTGTGTATGTAGTGTGTGCATGTGTGAATGGGGTGTGTGTGTGTGAATAGTGTGTGTGTAGTGTGTGTGGTAGTTTGTGTGTGTATGAATGGTGTGTGTGTGTATGGTGTGGTGTGTGTGCAGTGTGTGTAGTGTGTGTAGTGTGTGTGTGAATGGTGTGTGTGTAGTGTGTGTGTACTGTGTGTAGTGTGTGTGTAGTATGTGTGTAGTGTGTGTGTGTAGTGTGTGTGTGTGTGAATGGTGTGTGTGTGAATGGTGTGTGTGTAGTGTTTGTGAGTGGTGTGGTGTGTGTGTAGTGTGTGTGTAGTATGTATAGTGTGTGTGTGAATGGTGTGTGTGTGTGTGAATGGTGTGTGTGTAGTGTGTGTGTATGGTGTGGTGTGTGTAGTGTGTGTGTATGGTGTGGTGTGTGTAGTGTGTATAGTGTGTGTGTAGTGTGTGTAGTGTGTGTGTAGTGTGTGTGTGAATGGTGTGTGTGTGTGAATGGTGTGTGTGTAGTGTGTGTAATGTGTGTGTGAATGGTGTGTGTGTGTGGTGTGTGTGTGTGGTGTGTGTAGTGTGTGTGTATGGTGTGGTGTGTGTAGTGTGTGTAGTGTGTGTAGTGTGAGTGTGTAGTATGTGTGTGTGGTGTGTGTATAGTGTGTGTGTGTAGTGTGTGGTGTGTGTGGTGTGTGTGTAGTGTGTGTGTAGTGTGTGTGTGTGAATGGTGTGTGTGTATGTAGTGTTTAGTGTGTGTGTGTATGTGTAGTGTGTGTGTGTGTGTGTGTGTGTGTGTGTGTGTGTGTAGTATGTGACTCCAAGTCAAACACTGTGCCTCCTTCTACTCCCACCTCCTGTCAGCAGGCATGAAGCAGACTTTGGCTCCCTGACTCTGCCCCTTTCTCTCTAGTTGTCAGGGTATGAAGCAGCTGTGCCAGTCACAGAGAAGTCCAACCCACTGACCCGGAACTTGGACAAAGCAGACGCAGAGAAAATTGTTCAACTGTTGGGGCAGTGTGATGCTGAGATCTTCCAGGAGGAGGGGCAAATGATGCCCATCTATCAGGTGACCCGCAGTCAAACCTTGGACACTGCAAAAGAGATGCCAAGCCAACCACATCTTAACCTCTACCATCCCAGGCTATGGCTCCTGATTCGGAAATCCTGAGCCTTCTCCTCCATCCCAATCCACCGTCCTCTGTTTCTTTCATTTCCCCCTTTTCATTATTTATGCATTTATTTTGTGAGGTGGGGGATTTATTCCATGGGGAAGCATATGGAGGTCAGAGGATGACTTTGGGGAATCAGTCTGCCCTTTCACCATGTGGGCCCCAGGGATTGAACTCAGATCGTCAGGCTTGGCGGCAATCCCCTTGCCCACTGAACCATCTCACTGCCTCCCTCCCATCCTCCTTTTCTTCCTGCTGATTCCTGTTCACTCTTCACAGCGACTGTACAGCGAGTCAGTTCTGACCACCATGCTGCAAGTGGCTGGGAAGATCCAGGAGGTCTTGAAGGTACTAACTCTCCACCTGCTTCTCAGCCAAACACCTCTACTCCTCATTTTGATAAATCTCAACTCTTTTCTTATTCTTCCATTTATTTGTTTGTTTGTTTATTTATTATGGGTACAGTGTTCTGTCTGCATGTCTGCCTGCATGCCAGAAGAGGGCACCAGATCTCATTACAGATGGTTGTGAGCCACCATGTGGGTGCTGGGAATTGAACTCAGGAGCCCTGGAAGAGCAGTCAGTGCTCTTAACCTCTGAGTCATCTCTCAGTCCCAAGTCTTAACTCTTTATTGTCTTGGTCTTCCCTTTGGATATTTATTGTTATCTTAGTCATCAATAATAGTTATGATAATCACTAGATGAATAATGCCTTATCATCAGCCGTGCATTTTCCAATTTTGTTTTGCTTTTTTTTTTGTTTGTTTATTTGTTTTGGTTTTACGAGACAGGGTTTCTCTGTTTTGGAGGCTGTCAGTCCAGCCTGGCCTGGAACTCACAGAGATCCGCTTGCCCCTGATTAAAGGCGTGCGCCACCAAGGCGTGCGCCACCAACGCCCGGCTTTGCTTTTGTTTTTTAAAGTCAGGGTTTTTCTGTGTATCTCTGGCTGTCCTGGAACTCACTCTGTAGACCAGGCTGGCCTCGAACTCACAGATCCTCCTGCCTCTGCCTCCCGAATGCTGAGATTA